ATGTAGTCTAGGGTAAGCGCTGTCTTTTCTTCTCATTGTCATTAAAGTCAGATTGCCATCAGATGGAGGCTTGTAATACATCAGTGACAGGACCCTGTTTTTCAAAATAACTTGCAACTAAGGCCAAAATCTACTTTAGCAATTTATTTTATTCCTTAACTGTGCAAGAACAATTCGATCAATATTTTTAAGAAGAGATGAGTTTTTTTTTCTGAGAAAGTCATGAAATTGGCAGTTTTATAACTACGACTTTGTCGTAAAACGTCACTTTAAACACTATTTTTATAAGGGGCAGTGATTTTTTTCAAAGTGAGTATGGAATCTTTGTTTATTTCATCAGGTACATAGGATTTTCTCTTCATCACAAGACAAACCACATTTTTACTGCAATGTATGGGCTGACTGTCTTTAGCCTCATTATTCTACTTAACTGGCTGTGCTCACCGCAGTCATTTTATGGAGAAGATGACGAGGAGGAACCAAGTGATGAAGATGAAGATGATGATTGAATCGATGATGGTGTGGCTTACGTGTAGATCAAGATCCAGGAAAATAATATTGCAAAACAACCATAAATTAAAGGAAGACTTTAAAAGAAAGAGAAAGAAAAGGGTTACGGAGAAGATGTTAGTTGTGGGGTGTTCTTTCAGAAAGCAAAACGTGAGTATTCCAAGAAGTGTTCATTGCCAGCAGGACTGGAAAACTTAGAGAGAAAGAGAGATAGTAAGATTTCAGGCCAAGGAGCAGTTGATGCAATAAGTTTCATGCAATATGGAAATGAACTTAATGAAAATCTGTAATTGGCATAATAAAAGTGTAACCCCCCTCCCCTCACATTCAACCTTAAAAATGTGACCTTTTTCAGAAAACATTTCCTTGCTTGCAAGTTCCTTTTTATGAAGATCATGTTTTGTTGACATTATTTGCAAATTTCTTTATATTTAATGTGATAAATAAACAACTTTATATTTTACCTATAAAGAAATTTGAGATATTTTCATGTACATTTGATACTAATTGCTACATGTAAAATTTACATACTTTTAAATTGTTTGAATTTAGTTACATATGATATCATTATTGTTCTCTGCATAAAATGCAAGACAAACCATGAGTGTGCACATCTGATGAAGCTGATTCTTAATTTCTTAGTTTTTTGGGTTTTTTTTTAATGAGTAGGCCTATACCTTGTTACCTTGTTGCATGTAGTTACCCGGTACATGGGAATCACAATCCATATTATGTACCTGCAAAAATAACCTCATATATGTGTACTTATTTTAAATCTTGAATTTAATTCTAAAGGTGCATTTCATTAATTTAATTTCAGGGGCATATTTTAATGAAGTTGTTGAAATAAATTATTTTTGGTGCCAAGCACTTTTGTATTTTTCGTATTTAAAGAATATTGATTTTTAATTCCAAATGTTGATGTTTTTGTTCACCTAAAATTAATGGTATGTAAAGAGACATATAGGTTTCAGAACTTTTGCAAATTAGTTCCCAGTTTTTCTCCAACTTTCTTTCCTGAACTTTTTAATTAAAAATTGAAGAAATGATAGTTGGAGGAAACCGGTAACTAATGAGCACACATAATGAAACCTTTTTCTCCCTTTACTCTTATAAAATTCTTTAATATACTATCTGAACATTATTACTCCACGAAACACTCACAAAACAATACAGTGTATTGTATAGCATACCATGACGTCATAATAAATGTTTACTAATGTGTTAGAGAACTAAACAAGATGTGTTTGTGAAACACTGATGCCCCCCTATGGCAGCTTTCGGCGAAGGTTAAAGTTTCTCAAATGCAAGTCAAAATCCAGGCCAAAAGAAAAAAAAAATGTTAAATTTGAAAGCCCTTGCTGCAACTGTTCAAGAGTTATGGCGAAGGTTAAAGTTTTTTAAAAGTAAGTAAAACATCAAGGTCAAGGTCAAAGTTGTTGGCATCCAAAGGAAGGTCATGTCAAAAGGATTACATATGTAAAGTATGAAAGCCCTAGCACCAACTATTCAAAAGTTATGGCCAAGATTAAAGTTTTTCGAAAGTAGGTCAAACTCCCATGTCAATGTCAAAGGGTAAAAGTGGTTGGTATCCAAAGGAAGGTCTTGTCACAAGGACTATGTATGTGAAGTATGAAAGCCCTAGCACCAACCATTCAAAAATTATGGCCAAGGTTAAAGTTTTTCAAAAGTAGGTCAAACTCCTATGTCAAGGTCAAAGGGTCAAAGTGGTTGGTATCCAAAGGAAGGTGATGTCACAAGGATTACATATGTGAAGTATGAAAGCCTTAGCATCAACCATTCAAAAGTTATGGCCAAGGTTAAAGTTTTTCAAATGTAGGTCAAACACCTAGCTCAAGGTCAAAAGGTCAAAGTGGTTGGTATCCAAAGGAAGGTCTTGTCACAAGGATTATATATGTGAAGTATGAAAGCCCTAGCTCTAACCTTTCAAAAGTTATGGCCAAGGTTAAAGTTTTTCAAAAGTAGGTCAAACTCCAAGGTCAAGGTCAAAAGGTCAAAGTTGTTGGTATCCAAAGGAAGGCCTTGTCACAAACAATACACATGTGAAGTTTGAAACCCCAAGCTCCAACTGTTCAGAAGTTATGGCCAAGGTTAAAGTCTCATAAAATTTTGCAAAAGTGGGTCAAACTCCAAGGTCAAAAGGTCAAATATGATGGTACCCAAAGAAAGGTCTTGTCACAAGGAATACACATGTGAAATATGAAAGTCATAGCTCCAACCAATCAAAAGTTATGGGCAAGGTTAAAGTTGACAACAGACAAACAGACAGACAGACAGGACAAAAACAATATACCCCCGGGATCTTTCGATCCGGGGGCATAAAAAGAATTATTGTACAGTAATGATTAAATATCTACATGTAGCGGTAAAGGGAGAAAATTCTTTAGGATGTAAGTATTGAATATATCCTGATCTCTCCAATATTTTGATGCCAATCTCTATGACCTCCATATTTAGCAGATTTGATTCTCATACTTTTCCTTGAAGTTATCTTGATATTACATGTATTTACATGCTCAAGACGCACCCTCTTGTCATAAGCATTCATGAAGAGAAGTACGCATGTATAAACTTTTACTTAGAGAAAAGTCGGGCTGCTAAGATTGGTATCACTAACAGTGATTAGTCACTGCATCTTTCTTAAAATTTTATTAAGGCCCTGCTATGCACCTACGCTCTAGTGATCAGTCTGTCTGTCCAATATCATTTGTCTGCAATATATTTTTCTCTCCTTTTGGCCAAATCTGGCTCATACTTCACCCATAGAATGCCCATGGATAGAGGATATGCAGTGACCCCTAAACAAATTTTGTAGATCAAAGGTCAAGGTAAAAAAAAAACTATGTAACATCTTTGTCAAGAGTACTTTTTCTCTCCCCTTGCCCTATTCTTGCTCACACCTTACCCAAAAAGTGCCTGTGGGTAAGGGGCATGCAGTGAACTTAACCAAGTTTCTATATCAAAAGTCAAGGTCATAGCAGATCTCTCTGTTCCAGAGCATATTTTTTCTGCTTTTTGCCTTATCTGGCTCATACTTTACCCATGATCTATAAACTCAGGACAGCTTTCTAGTCCCATTCATCATAAGTAAAATTTAGTAATTCATTGATCACCTAATTTCATGCTCTGGCTCAACCACAAAAGCATTAAAAATTGGTGTTTTGTACTTTTCATACTGAGATTCAAAATTCATAACCAGTAAGTGAATAACAAAACAAACATCTTAATTTTCAACATAAATATATTTAATTAACTTCTTCCATTTAAAAAAAAAAATACAAACCTTCCATATTCATTAAAAATATCTGTTTAAAAGGGAAAGAAAAAAAAATTGATATGTATCATACCTTTCAATAGAAAATCTTCTGGATAAATAATTCAAATAAAAGCAGTGGTAAAAACTGACATGCCACAACATGGAATGGAATGTACTTAATACATCAACAACATTTATCAATAAACTGCTGAATATTCAAAATACAAAAAAAAAACATGGACAGAATATTTGTATGATGTACATGACTGTATAAATACTTTGTAATACATGTACTGGAGCAAGATATGTGGCTTTGTGTAGTGTATACAAGTACATGTACTTCAATCTCTGACTTTAAATAATCTTCATAAGAAATTAAGACCGAATGATGTCAAAAAGGTTCGTTTCCTTACATTCTTGCTCTTGAGCTCTTTTGAAAAGCTTGACACCATACTGGGAGAATGGAATGCAATTGTTTAACTGTCGCTGGACCAGACCTGGACTTGAACCCAAGCCCCATGAATCAATCAACAGAACAACCTGACCATCCGTGATCAGATCTGCCTGACCGCTACACATGGTTTCAGGCAAGCTAGCAAGTGTCTTCCAGGTTCTTTTGACATGATGTAAGTAATGCATATGTACATTAAATAAACTAAAACGTGTCAAAGCTTTCATGACATTGACAAGTGATAGGTAAATCACTTTCAACTTCAGTGTACACAATACTATCTAAGTAACAAGCAAAATATTAATCCCCCCTTTTTTGAAAAAAAAAATTTCCTCTAGAAAATTGCATTCCTTTAAAACAGATAAAGTACAGTGTATAAACAACTAATTTCAGCAGAGAGACTTTGCAACACTTCTTCATACGCAACTAATTCCTACAGAACCTGTCACACTGAAGTTTTGATTGTGAACAGGGATAACCTATGTCATTCACCAAATATGAAGTCTCTGTTTTGTATATATTTCTTTTGATGGACAAACAGACAGACCAGGATCTATGATCTTGCAAGCATAAAAACACACAATATGTATACATGTAATAGTAATATTTAAGCACCAGGCATGAACTCTTCAAAAATATCTGTGTCCAGCACAGATACTGAAAACAAAATGAATATCAAGCAGATCTACACTATAACAATAAAATTCTATCTTAAAACAAATATCCTTTAGGAAAATGTAATTCGATATCATAATGGTTGAAAAATAATGCTATTAAATAATGATATTTTTGGTTTGTTGAAAATATTTCTTATACAATTAATGTACACATGCCATGGCACTATTCTTTATTGATGAAGAGGTGTACACGTTGTAACATTTAGATAAAGCATTTAGGATATTCCTGATTTAATTACACAAAAACAAATGTTTATGAATTTACATTAATTCTGCACATTCTAATACATGTATGTACAAAACATCAAATTAATAGCACACCTGTAAGTTTCTCTGACTATTTCATACATTATGATATGGATTTCAAATAGAAATACCTGTGTATACATATAAATATATATATGTATTTTAGTGTTGTAAATTGTAAAAATGTTATATTTCTTATGGTTCTATTGAATATCTATTGCCAGCAAGGATGTTAAGAAATGTAATGAAAAATCATCCAAGAAATCCAATGCTTAGTTGGAAAAGTAAGTAAGTAACGAGTTACTAAAACTCATCTGATTTGACAACACTAGCATAATTAATTTGAAAATTTTATATAAAACCTGAAGGTTCTTAGATATATATATATTGTACAAGTACATGAAATGAATTCAAAATACATCTGTTTGTAATACATGCTTCAAAATAAAAGTATAACGTGTAGATTTATGAGGTGAATATTCAGACAAAAACATCTTCACTGTCACAGGCCAAAGAAATGTGTCTTTCTTCCTGAATATTAGACAAGTCAGCATGAGATTGAGTTTGTCGTCTGCTAATTTGATTGTTCAGGTGTTGGTTCAGGTCTCCAAGTGACCTTCTGTATGAATTATCTGGTAATCTTTGATTCCCGGTTTCCCCTGGATTCAAATGAGAATGAATGGGTAGATTTCCAACAGAGAGGGATATGGGGCGGTCCTTTTCCAGGGGGCATGGCTTGCTTATTCCATCTTCCTGCCTTGTGTTTGATTGACTACTTGCCATTCCTCCAGTTGGATGGTCTGAATTTCCCAGAGTGAGGCTACTCCTTGAGGCAACACACTGTGTAGTGGGTAGATGCTGTAATGAGGTAGCCATTCCTCGTCTGTCCTCTGTCCATCTCTCTATAGGATGCAAATTGGAAAGGCTGGCTGAATTTGTCCTGGGTGGTGAATCTTTTGATCGATCATCAGAATCTTTAAAACCTTGATTTAGTACGCCCCTATGCTCTCTATCTGTAAAGTGATCCTCGCTAAAAAGCAAACCCTTGGAGCTGCTGTCAGATGCTCTATTTTTCCGATCCTCTTTCAATTTTGTTTGCTTTCTTTCCCTCAAATCTTCGTTTTTGTGATATTTCTCTTCCTTGAAATTGGGTTGATTTTTGGAAGAATCTAAATATTGGTTAGGTTTCTGTCTTGATGGACTGCCTGAAAAATTCCCTCTTGCAGTGGAACTTATGTCTCCCTTTCTCCCAGGCTCTAGTCCTTGCATGTGCAAAGATGTTTCTTTTCTATACTGTATTCGGTCTGATTGATGGTCATATGGTTTTCTCTCTGAATTTTCTCTCACATCATTATCACTTTTTTGTCTTTGAGGATGAAAGCTTCTTCCTTCAATTTGCCTTCCATCTTTTGATCTGCTGGGGACCCTTTCTGTATACTCATGCTCACTCCTCTCCCTGTTTGAGGTTCTGGACCCTCGATTAGGCACCTCACTGTAAGAGGAACTATGAACTTTTGGGACAGATCGGTTCAGAGGTAGGTCAGTGGATGATTCGGAGCTGTAAGACATACTGTATGTATGATTAACGGGTCTAATTTCACCACTCTCTGCAGGAGGTGAGGTTGATGTTTGGGCTTCAAAGTTTGGCTGCTGACGTTCTATAGTGCTAAATTCTGGTGGTGGGTAGTCCTCTTCAATGTATTCTTCTTGTGGGGCCTCCACTGTCTGTCCTACAGCCTCATTGTATGTGGGTGGTTTAAGTACCCCATTTTCATATTCCTGGTAATAAATAATGACTCATTTTGAACCAATACATTTTACTTATAATTTTCAAAGAAATCTTTTCAAGCTTTGTAATAAACAGGAAGTTGGCATTTACCAGTGGAGGTTCTTCATAGGGGGGACTTTCCAGTGCCTCCTCATAGGTGGGAGGGAAATCCACAGGTCTCTGAGCCTGTCTACCTCTACGACCTCCTAAACAGAAACAACTCTTTATTACTGCGTCCACTCAGAAATTTTTACTTCTTATTTCCTTTCTTGTCTATAATTCTAAACAATTAAACCCTTACAAATCAAGCAGAAATACAGAAGTTTTACCAGTACGTCTTCTTTTTAGTGCTACATTTACTATGTGAAATACTTTAACCCACTATTTGGACATTACACTTTCGGTCAGACCAATTTTCCTCCCTTACTTCTATTACTTATTCCTCCACTGATCGTGGGTATCCCTGATTCTCTGTCCATCTCCCGTGCTCGTGCAATATGACATCGTCTTATAAGGAAGAAGAGAACACACAAGATGACGAGGAGGAAAACAGAGATGACAAGCGGAACAATGACACTGACTGTCATTGTGTAGTTAGTGCTCCGAGAATAACCGGATCCTCCACCTGGTCAAATCAGATAAAACTAGATTTAAGAAACATTTCAAACTACTGTCTTTATATGTCTTTAAATTTTGGAACCGCTTACATAGTATAATTTAATCCCACATGGAAAAAAACCACGTCAACAGTATTTCAAACTAAAAATTTAGGTCAAAAAATGCAAATTTTCAAAATATTGTACAGTAAATCATTGTTATTTTCCACAAAACTATTCTGAGGTTTTACCCTACTTTATCTCTTCATTTTTAATATCATGGACCACTAAATCAATAATAAACTTAATATAAAATGAAATGTATGATGAATATCTCACTTAGACATTTAGAGTTGAGTTCATCAGAATTATCCCCACAATGGTTATATCTATCGCACTCAAGCTCTGCAGGGATACATCGGCCATTGTTACAGTAAAACATCCCCCTTCTGCCACAGTCTATAAATAAATGAATCATTAAAAACATGTTCTGAAAAAGAATTGATGTAGTTATTAAAGAAACACATCAAAATCACGATACATGTACTTAAATATTACAGCAAACCATGCCTCTTTTTAATGTTTAGAAGAGAATCACACAATTTTTTTGTTCTAACATAAAGGACACAACATGACTATGTGTACAATTCATTCTAAAGAATGTCTTCAAAATTTCATACACAAGATTTGCCAAAAGCATATTTTTTGTGGCTTTTGCCAAAATTTGTATCCCTTCCAAATTTCTAAAGTGCACACTAAAGGGGAAAAAGGTCTTAAGCTGAAAAAATTTTGTCACTCAATTTTTTTCATATTTTGTATATTACTTATTTAGTATGTCCCGCATATCCAAAAACAGTTCCATCATTTGGTTTCTTATCTTACTTTAGAGATATTGCTAGACAAATACTGTGCCCTGCAGTGTCTATGTGGAGTTTTAATTCTTCATGTTTAAGGCCCATTATTCTGTCCATAATAGGAATTTTTAAGCACGGATGAAAAAATATTTAAGTGGACAAATGACTTTTCAGATATTTCAGAGTATTTTATTTTAAAATTGAAAAAAGCAAATTTCTTTTTTTCACACTGCATATGGATGAGGAAATTTGCATGCTTTTCAGACCTTTAACAACAAAAATCTGAATTTGTAAAAAATTCTATCATTCAATATTTGAAAATTTACACTGAAACTTAATTAAGTCCATTTTATTTATTAACGCTAAGACTATAGAAAGATGAAGTTCTTTTTGTCCACATGACATTGTTAAACAAGACATAAGCATGATGAAAACGTTTCATGTTTACTTTTTTCAAGGATGGGGAAAGCCAACTATGACATCACAAGTAAGCTAAATAAAGCAAAATAAGATATATGTACTAAAATTTTTGCTATCAACAATGCAAAATAATTTTTCACATAATACCTCACCATATGCTAATTATGACATACTTTTACATTATAATACTGCCTGTATAATCACCAAGTATGATCTTGCTGAACTAATTAACAGAATGTGTACAATGATTTGTTGGGTGCACTGACAGTGTAGGGAAATAGAGGAGTCGATCAATCTATTTCATAATTTGTTAATGTTTATAAAAACGTTGAAACTTTCTGATATTTTTATATAAGATAATGAAGTAAAACAAAAAGTCTACAGTACTGGTTATTTAAATCATGTTTTGCACTTACATTTTTAGAGAATATGAGACATAGTTAAACGAGTCATGTGACCATGAGTCCTTCATCCCCTTTAGCTAACCCTTTTAATCCTTCATATGTAATGAAATACAACAGTGGAGTCAACATACTGACCAGTGGGTCCTCGTTCTCTATAAGAGGCGTACACAATTTTGAGGTTGTCCATCGGTCTGAGCGTCCCTCTGTAGCGAATGTAGAAACCCTTGTCTGTGTCATTAAAGCTTGGGTATGCCCTGTTCGGAAATACTTTGTCCTTGAGCTGGCTATCAGATGTCAATCCATCTCGAATCTCCACTTCCTGTTTAGCATAACTGACTGTAATACATATTAAATATTCTGTAATTAACTTCAAATGCAATGCAGAAAGACTTGATGTGTATTCCAAACCTTTTTTCTTATTACAATGAAAATTTTTAACCTAAGCCATAATGTGGTCTTATTTGGCATATTTCTATCAATGATAAGTAGTTGTGTCTTGATTAGACAAGTTTTACTGCTATATCATTATGTCATTCATATATATATCTTGATGAAAAATATGTCTCAAATGCATCCATTAAAAGCATGTTTGGTATATTTGAACATTTCACTGACTATTCTTTTTAAAACCTTCCCTTGTAATGGATACTGTTATTTGAACAACCTAGAATACATTGTTCTCAAAAAATCTGAATACCATTTTTGGTTTTAAATGATCATACTAAAGAAGTAAAAAATGTTAATAGTTAACAAATGCCCTTGATCAGAAAATTTCACTTGAACATTTTGCTCAGGTGAATTCAAATGCATTCTTATTTTGAATTCCAGCAAATCAATCTGTTTCTGTGTCTAACTTACTCAGTGTGTCAGTACGAAAGCTGATAATTTTCATGTACATCCTGTCAAAATCCGGCTGTTTTTTTATGACCCAGACACAGTCATATTCAACATCTTTAATGCTGTTTATCATCTGGAAATCTATAATTCCTCCTTGTCCAAGCAAATCATACTTTCCACAGTCTGAAATTTCAAACAGTTAAACTTTTATGTCTAAGGGTAGATTTTCATACAGGTGTGTGGTGTTTGCCTTTACCAAATTATTTTTTTCAAAAATCTACTAATTTTTTTTTCTCTAAAATGAAGTTATAAGAATAGATCAAATTCAAACCAAATCAATAAATTATCAATAGTTATGGACCATAGTCCATACAACCTTAATAAATGAAAAAATGAAAATATTTAACGTGAAAAGCATAAAAATTATCCTGCATAACAATTCATAATTATAAATACATATAAATCCTATCTAAAGTTACACTTTAAGAAGTATTGGAATTATTAACTGTCAAAGATTCTGAAGCTTTTAAGTATAGGAGTATTAGATATAGTGAATAAAATCCTTACTTGATCTTGGGACAGTGATAGAATCTCCATCTAAAAATAAAATTTTTTCTGTTTAAACTAATCGTGACATCCTACTGAATCACATGGAAACACATATATACAGAATAATTCCAATCAAATGGAACAAAGAACATTAATACTTGTAAATAATAAACAATAATAAATATTAATACATTTAGCAACTATAAGTGAAATTTTTTTATAGACAGTAAAACTTGGCTTATCCGGAAACCACAGGTTCCATAGAAATTTACTGAATAAGACAACATTCCAGATTAGATATTTCAAACAATTGAAGTTACTGAAAGGACTGACAGTTTTCATCATAATAGGCAAGTTTTCGAATTACACAACATCCAGATTACACAAGTTTTACTGTATTTTCTTTGACCTTGTTTTTTTTTTCTTGAAATGATAGTATTAAAGGGTAATATTTTACCTCTGTAAAAAGTGTAAGTAAATCTGAATCCTAGATATCTGTTTTGGTCCTCGAGCAGATGATGGCCTGTGTTAAAAATGATCTTCATTTCTGGGCCCTTTGACAGAACTGCCGAGCGATCCGAACTACCGTCCACTGGCAATCTTCTAAGGCTATTGTCAAACTGGAAAGAAGGATATCAAAAGGTAACTTTGCATCATGCATCTAATTTTTTAACAAGAGGCCCAAGGGCCTTAACGGTCACCTGAGTATAAAACAACAATCCATAGAAGTATAAAATAAACTGAAAGGAGCTTTTGTAAATCTTTGATCGTCCATTGTGGCCCCACCCTATCCCAAGAATCCAGAGCCATGATTTGAACAAACTTGAATCTATACTACCTGATGTTTCTATGTAAATATAACCAATCATGGCTTTGCTGTTCTTGAGAAAAGAATTTTTTCAAGATTTTCCCTACATATTCTAATGTAAATCTTTCATTGTCCATTGTGGCCCACCCTACCCCTGGGGATCATGGTTTTAACAAACTTTAATCTACACTACCTGAAGATGTTTCCACATTTCATCTTTCTTGGCCCAGTGGTTCTGGAGAACAAGATTTTTCCAATGTATTCCCATGTAAAACTTTGATCATCCATTGTGGCCCTGCCCTACCCCTGGGGGTCATGATTTGAACAAACTTGAATCTACACTACCTTAGGATGTTTCCCGATAAGTTTCATTTTTCTTGGCCCAGTGATTCTGGAGAAGAAATTTTTTAAATATTTTTTCTATGTATTTCTATGTAAAACTTCGATCATATCGAACTGACTAATCATGTCTTTGCAGTTCTTGAGAAGAAATTTTCCTATATATTCCTATGTAAGACTTTGATCGTCCATTGTGGCCCCGCCCTACCCCCTGGGGTCATGATTTGAACAAACTTGAAACTACACTACCTGAGGATGCTTCCATATAAATATGACCAATCATGGCTTTGCTGTTCCTGAGAAAAAGATTTTAAAAGATTTTTCCTATATATCTCTATGTAAAACTTCGATCATTCATTGTGGCCCCACCCTACCCCCGGGGGTCATGATTTGAACAAACTTGAATCTACACTACCTGAGGATGCTTCCATATAGATATGACCAATCAGGGCTTAGCTGTTCCTGAGAAGAAGATTTTAAAAGATTTTTCTAATATATCTCTATGTAAAACTTTGATCATCGATTGTGGCCCCGCCCTACCCCGGGGGTCATGATTTGAACAAACTTGAATCTACACTACCTGAGGATGCTTCCATATAAATATGACTCATCACGACTTTGCTGTTCTTGAGAAGATTTTTAAAGATTTTTCCTATATATTTCTATGTAAGACTTTGATCATCCATTGTGGCCCCGCCCTACCCCCGGGGGTCATGATTTGAACAAACTTGAATCTACACTACCTGAGGATGCTTCCATATAAATATGACTCATCACGACTTTGCTGTTCTTGAGAAGATTTTTAAAGATTTTTCCTATATATTTCTATGTAAGACTTTGATCATCCATTGTGGCCCCGCCCTACCCCCGGGGGTCATGATTTGAACAAACTTGAATCTACACTACCTGAGGATGCTTCCATATAAATATGACAAATCAGGGCTTAGCTGTTCCTGAGAAGAAGATTTTTAAAGATTTTTCCTATATATCTCTATGTAAAACTTTGATCATCCATTGTGGCCCCACCCTACCCCTGGGGGTCATGATTTTAACAAACTTGAGTCTACACTACCTGATGATGTTTCCACATAAGTTTCATCTTACCTGGTCCAGTGGTTCTTGAGAAGAAGATTTTTAAAAGATACCATTAATTTTTCGCTAATTCTTAATTATCTCCCCTTGGAAGAAGGCGTGGCCCTTCATTTGAACAAACTTGAATCATCTTTACCCAAGGATAGTTTGTGGCAAGTTTTGTGGAAATTGGCCCAGTGGTTCTTGAGAAGAAGTCGAAAATGTGAAAAGTTTACGCACGACGCACACCCGCACGATGATGGACGAAAACAGATAGCAATAGGTCACCTGAGTGACTCAGGTGACCTAACAAAACACTAATATGAACTACAGCAATACAGTTAAACTTCAATATCTCAAACACCATTATCTTGAATACCATGGATATGTTTAAGTGAGATGGAAATCCAAACCAGTTTTCCTATATGTATTTTATCCTTGATATGTCAAATCTGATGATATCTCTCTGTTTTATTTTTGGTCCCATTGAGTTCGAGATGATGAGGTATGACCGTATTTAAAATTAAATGCTGATCAAAAAACACCTTAAAATTTATTCTGTTCTTTCTGAAAATATTAAAGAGACACCGTGACAGAAAAATGGGAAAATTGACGAAAGTAGAATTTTTGCAAGACACATGCAAATTTTATTCAATTCTTGAAAGTATTAGGTTTCAGAAAATTACAGGTTTCAGAACCTAAAAAATCTACTTTTATGGAGAAAAATAATTTTAGTTTTCCCAAACACGAAAATATTGCTTTACTTCTTCCCCTCTAAGGTACGCATGCACAGAAAAGTTGAAGAAGTGACCAAGGAGTAAATTCCATAGATATAAATGTCGGATGATCAAGGATTTTGATATAATCTTCAAAAAAGATTATCAGAACTTATTCCTCACTTTTGATTGCTCTGATTCAATGTTGTTTACGAGTTTCATGCTAAAAATTAAAGACAAATGACCTTGACATTGTTGATATTGATGATAACAACCACGCCCCATAGATGCAACTTTTCTTTTTCCGGCACTTACATTATGCAGTCTTTTCTTGCTTTTACCATGCAGTTGAGATCTCAAAACTTCACCTTATTCATATTTCTCCTCCATCTTTAGCTTTATAATACAATTATCTTAAAAGAAACACATGATATTGACTCAATATGTAACGTTATGACATCTTTACTTACAAACACTTCACTGTATGGTGATATATGCCAGTCATCAAATATCACAAGGATTCTGGAATATTCTGGATTTCTAATGATCCAGGTGTACTGGTCCCCATTCTGGATGTAGCCACTTGGAAAGTTAGGAGAGCGTATTTGTCCAGTCCTATTTGTCAAAATCTCACTATTTGCTATAAAAGAATTTTTCAGATTATGAAAACAAATTCCGCTGCCAAATTGCATCCTAATCTTAATAATTTGGTTTAATGTGACTTTAAATTCATTGGAGCTTCTACATTTTTTCTCCTGCTGCCTAATTGCATTCAGGTCTTAAGAATTTAGTTTAAAGGGGCTTGGACACAGATTTGAAGTTAATATTTTCTCAAATTTTCTATATTATATCACGACTTGTAGGTTGCTATTGCATTTCACATGGAAATATAATACAAGCAAGTTCAGAAACTTCTTTTATCTGAAAATAATTAAAACTAAGAATTTCTGATTGCATTTAATTGAAACATATTCTTGGACTTTCACAAAATAAATTTTATCCTTAATATTTAACAGAAGTAGAAATTCTGTTGTTTATTAATGAAAAATATTAAAGCTATAATGCAGAAAATTCAGACTTGAAATATGAGAAAGCAAAACCAACCCACCAGTATTATCAGTCCATGCTCAGTGATGTGTGAAGAGTTTAACAGAGTTGACAAATTGAACACACCCAGGGTAAAACGTAAACATTAATAATAACAAAGCTTTGCCCTATGTACAAAAACATGTTTTATCCAAGTTTTATATTGAAATGGGAAATTTTTTAAAAATCTTCTTCTAAAGAACCACTGGGCCAGAAAAGCTGAAATTTATGTGGAAGCTTCCTGAGATAGCGTAGATTTTAAATTGTGTAAATCATGACCCCCAGGGGTTAGGGTGCGGCCACAATAAGGAATCAAAGTTTACATTGAAATATATAGGAACTAGAAATATGTTTATAAGACATGAAGCCCCGCCGAGGGTATATTAGTAATGCAACATGAAAATTTGTATAAGTGTATGAAATTTGATGAGAATATCTTGAATAGTTTCTTTAAAACTGAAATTGAAATCTAAAAAGTTTGATATAGATGATAAATTCTCACCAAATTATGTATAAGTGCATAAGCTTACAAAAATATATCTTATATGGTTTCTTTAAAATTAAATAAAATGCAAATTTAAGAAAAGTGAGGTCAAGGTCCCAGAAAAGTTCAATGTCAAAGGTTTTTGAAGCAGTTGAATAGTTCTCATGAATACATATCAGCATATTAAGTTTGATAAAAATATTTTAAACTGAGCGAAACACTAATTTAAAATAAATGAAGTTAAGGTCAAAGGAAAGGTCAAGGTAAAAAAATGTTGATGCAGCTGAAAAGGTTACATCAGTATGTATTAGCATATGAAGTTTGATAAAAATATTATGAATGGTTTCTTTAAAACTGAGCTAAACACTAATTTAAGAAAAGTGAGGTCAAGATCAAAGGAAAGGTCAAGTTCAAAAAATATTGATGCAGTTGAATAGCTTACATCAGTGTGTATCAGCATATGAAGTTTGACACTAATTCAAGAAAAGTGAGGTCAAGGTCAAAGAAAAGGTCAAGGTAAAAAAATGTTGATGCAGTTGAATAGGTCTCATCAGTATGTATCAGCATATGAAGTTTGATAACACTATCTTGAATGGTATCTTAAAAATGAGCTAAAAACTTATTTAAGAATAGTGAGGTCAAGGTCAAAGGAAAGGTCAAGGAAAAATATTGATGCAGTTGAATAGCTCTCATCAGTATGTATCAGCATGTGAAGTTTGATAATAATATCTTGAATGGTTTCATTAAAACTGAGCTAAACACTAATTTAAGAAAAGTGAGGTCAAGGTCAAAAGAAAGGTCAAGGTCAAAAAATGTTGATGCAGTTGAATAGCTTACATCAGTATGTACCAATATATGAAGTTTGATTACACTACCTTGAATGGTATCTTTAAATCTGAGCTAAACACTAATTCAATAGAAAAGTGAGGTCTAGGTCAAAGGAAAGGTCAAGGTAAGAAATTTGATGCAGTTGCATAGCTCTCATCAATATCTATCAGCATATGAAGTTTGACAAGCTAATTCAGAGAATTTGTGTCCCCTGCATAGGGAAAAAAGAAGAACATGCGCAGTTCGGGGGGGTGGGGGGGTCACACTGCCCCCCTGTATTTGTAGAATTATTAAATGTATACATGTATATTGAAGCAAATTAAAAAAATGCCAATTTGTATATAAAGATTTGATTGCACATTCTTTAATATGTGTATAGAAGATTCTTTTTAATATTCAGAATATTTATCACACTGTAATAATGATTTTATGAGTTTGTACACACCAGACATCATAACTTTTTCATTTCACATGTTGAGTAGTGTCATTCAGTAAATCCAAAAAAAAAAAATAAAAATAAAAAAAAAAAAAAAATCGTCGATCTGGGATTAAACCCGGACCTCTCGCTTGCTAAGCGAGCAACATACCCCTAGACCACGGAGGCACTTGATTATACAGCAAATTAAAGGCAAACACTAGGTCACACACAAAAGTCAGTAATGATAATGTCGTAAGAGTTATGCTTCTTTGACTATATGTAACAAGAAGTTGATCTACTCATTTCCATAATATTTCTCATATTGAGTTAAGTCTGATTAAATGCAAACATTAGGTCACTTAATATATTGTTTATATTCACGTTCGATACTGTCAAAATTTTACACATTACATATTGTCTAATTTAGCCTTTACTAAACAGTTCTAATAGATGTAATTAGAATATAAAGTCGGCCGACAACCTGTATTTGTACGTATTAACTCTCCAAATGCCCCTATGCTAAAAATAGTGCCAAGTGACTTTTAAATATACAATAAATAAAATTAATACGGGGCGGGACACTTTGAGAGGGGCAAGAGATGCAATAGGGAGTTATGGTATAAAATTTCTTTGCAAAAGCTCAAAAGCTTTTTGAGATATCGCCCAGAAACGAAAGTGTTACACACAGACGGAATTTGTGAATTTACGATCTTGAGCTTTGACCTTTTGACCTCAAAGTCAATAGAGGTCTTCCTTAGGCCACAGGGAGTTGCTGTGTAAAATTAAAAGTGTTAAAACAGACAGAATTTATGAATTTATGACCTTGACCTTTGGACCTCAAAATTAATAAGGTTCTTCTTTAGTCCATATGGAGTTGCTATGCAAAATTTCATTGTGAAAGCTCAAAGGGTTCTCGAGATATTGCGCAGAAACGAAAGTGTTACAGACAGACAGAAATACAGACGGACAGACAGACAGACCCAAATTAATATCACCCACTTTCAGTGAAAGCGGGGGACAATAAAAATATCTTGGATAGTTTCTTTGAAACTCAGCTTTGAACAGAGCTAAACGCAAAGTGTGATGGAAGGACAGAAGGACAGAAGGAAAGAAGGACGGAAGACGGACATGACAAACACTATATGCCCCCGCCATATTCATGGCGGGGCATAAACATAGGTAATCAGAGATTACACAGCTCACCTCAACAAATGTTGTCTTTAAGTAAGCCAAAGTCCCACACTAAACTAATAATCTAGGAGTGTGCATCCCTAGATGCAACATTCATGCAATTTTGGTCTGATAGGGCGTGCAGTTACTTGGGAATAAACTTATCTGAAAACTTAAAACTAGTCACTCATCCAGAAAATGTAAGTCAAATCCAGCATCCGAAGCAAGTTTTAAAATTGTTCGTCCCTTGATGCATCATCCATGCAAGTTTGGTTCAGGTAGGCCTTATAGTTACTTGGAAATGAAATCTGCTCCAAAAACTTTAACCTGGTTACTCATCCAGAAAATGTAGGTCAGATCCAGCATCCGAAGCAAGTCCAGTAGTGTGCATCCTTAGATGTATCATCCATGCAAGTTTAGTCAATATAGACTTATAGTTACTTGGAAATGACATCTGCTCCAAAAACTTTAACCTGGTCACTCATCTGGAAAATATAGGTCAGATCCAGCAACCGAAGCAAGTCCAGTAGTGTGCATCCTTAGATGTATCATCCATGCAAGTTTAGTCAATATAGGGCTTATAGTTACTTGGAAATGAGATCTGCTCCAAAAACTTTAACCTGGTTACTCATCTGGAAAATATAGGTCAGATCCAGCATCCGAAGCAAGTCCAGTAGTGTATCATCCATGCAAGTTTGGTCAATATAGGGTTAATAGATACTTGGAAATGACATCTGCTCCAAAAACTTTAACCTAGTCACTCATCCGGAAAATGTAAGTCAGATCCAGCATCCGAAGCAAGTTCAGTAGTGTGCATCCTTAGATGTATCATCCATGCAAGTTTGGTCAATATAGGGCTTATAGTAACTTGGAAATGAGACCTGCTCCAAAAACTTTAACCTGCTCCATAAACATTAACCTGGCCATTCTTTAGCTGAAATTGCAGCATCTGAAACCTTGACTGGTACAATGAAACACACTAGAAGCATCCTCCATGCATCTCTGACTAATATAGGCCATAGAAGAACTTGAAAAGAAAACTGCTCCAAAAACCTTAACCTGGGACGCCGACATCGACGCCGAGGGTATTACATAAGCTCCCCCAACTTCGTTGAGGTGAGCTAAAAATCTTTAAAAATCTTCTCCTCAAGAACCACTGGGCCAGAAAAGGTGAAACTTATACGGAAGCTTCCTGAGGTAGTGTAAATTCTAAATTGTTCAAATCATGACCCCCGGGGGTAGGGTGCGACCACAATAGGTATTACAAGGGGGAAAATCTGGTGAAACAGGGCAAAGTTACTCAGGTGAGTGTTGTGGCCCATGAATCTCTTGTTAATTTCTATGTTTATTCAAAAAATAAAACCAGTTAAATGAATTGAACTTACATGAATATTCTTAATATTCGATGACATCGACCTTCTCCTTTATATCATATTTCAATGTAAAAGTTTGATTCTCTATTGTGACCTCACCTTACTCCCGGGGTCATGATTTGAACAATTTAGAATATATGCTACCTCAGGAAGCTTCTACATAAGTTTCAGCTTTTCTGGCCCAGTGGTCTTGAGAAGTAGTTTTTTAATGACCTCACCCTATTTTTGTCTTTTCATGATTATCTCCCCTTGTAAGGGGGCTTGGCCCTTCATTTAAACAATTTAAATCTCCCCTTCATCCAAGGATGCTTTGTACCAACTTTGGTTAAAATTGGTCAAGTGGTTCTTGAGAAGAAGTTGAAAATGTGAAAAGTTTACAGACAAACAGTCAGACGGATGGACAGACAAAAGGTGACCAGAAAGGCTCACTTGAGCTTTCAGCTCAGGTGAGCTAAAAATGTAAACAATGCAAGCATGTCCAAGCCCCTTTAATGCAACTTGAAATTCATTGGTTCTTCAAATATTGATACCTACCATTAACATTGAACTGTAAGGATATATTAGGCGGGGCTTGTTGAGAACAAAGTCCCACAAATACTGCACTAGAAACAGACTTAAAATGCCATCCATTTTCTCGATAAAACTTAACAGAATCATTCAGATAGGAACTGTCGAACACAAACAGGTAGGAACAGCTGTAAGACAAGACAAAACCTGGTAAAGTACATTGTAATACTTATAGTGAAGTGCAAGGGACAAAACGGTAGCAAGACTATCAATGATCTGTGGGGCGAATCCAATGAAAATGTTGAGAATCATAACTGGTCATCAATATTATAATTATATGAAAAAACACTCTCCAGCTGTGGTAGTCAACATATGGTGACTATTCTTGTGCAAAGTTAAATTGATTTGTTTTATATAGCCATGAAAAAAATCCTTGCAATCTTTTTTTGCTATACTTTCACTGACAAATAAATAATGCTGAGTTATAAATCTCTATATAACTCCACAAAATACTCACTCTGGTGTACACTCTTTCAATGAGCGGGGGGCCAAGGTGGAGCAAGGGAGGAACCAATTATTCATATTATGTATTGAGATGTGGCAGTTGGAGCACCCTTTAATGCGTATAAGACAAGGACCATTTTCAGTGGGCCCAGTCCCACTTGTCACTCCCACAATGCCTTGCTCTTGAGGAAATGGCAAAGTTATGTAGTTTGTTTTGCAGATATTTATAAGTCCTAAAAAACATGAAAATTGAATCATAAATTTCAAAAAAATGTTTTGCAAATACTTTTAAAAATAAGATTTTCCTCAAAATTTGTTATTAACATTTTGAAGGATTCAGGTATTAGTTTTTTATTTCATAATAATTTTTTACTTATTTTCATAACCTTACATTTATCAATTGAAAGTAATTTTCTTGGTATTTTTTTCTCTTCCACACATACATGTATTTATCAATTTACCTTGAGCATAAGATGTACATATTGTGATGAATAAAACACCTGTAAAACAAAAACAAATAAGTTTTAATTTTTTAGTCCAAAACAATATGTTTAGTGTATTACAAAATTTAAATTCTAATGATTAAAAAAAAAATGTACCTATAAAAAAAGAAATTGAAAATGTTGGCCATTTCTTTTTAATCTTTTTAAAAGAGGTAATCAACCTATGGCAGCTTTTATCTCCTTTGTAGTGCTATAATTTCTGAGGCAGCCCATAATAAATAAATTCACCCTCTCAATATAAAAGGTGCATTTGATGCTCTTTCACCATAAAATTTAATGCATATGAAGTTTTCACCTTGAATGATTATCTTGTAACAAATAAAGTTATCAATATATCTTAACTTTTGCAGATAAGTAAAGAACGAACAAAAAACAAAAACAAATTTAAAGATTAGCTTATTATATATGCAAACATACATGGGAGAATTTAATATGTTGCTTTAATCATGCAACTGCATCTTAAAACCAAAATATCTTAGTAAATGCTAATATTAAAAAAGAAACTTTTTACCTATAGATAAGTACAGAGTCCTCATATTGAAGTCTGATTAATCACATCCAGTTTGTTTTTGTCTGCAGTAATTCCTGTTTCATCTATATATTAAATAGAAGAAAAACCAGAAGTCTCTGACGAGACTGTAGCTCTACTGGTTGTATTTATAAAGGAAGATAAAAGTAGCACTTGGACTTGAAACTTTGCAACAGCAATAAACAGAATAATGATCCTTGGTTTAGTCTCTTTTGTGGCAAGATTTATTATAATATCAGACTAAAACTGTAGGAGGAGTAGCCTTTTAAAACAATTTTACAGAAATTTTGATTTAAGTTACCATGGCAACATCATTCAACAAAATCAAAAAACAATAACACCAATTATGTATCTCTGTAGTCTACTTGTATGCTACATTATACTGAAATCAGACAAAAAGTGTAGGAGGAGTAGCGTTTTGAAAGTATTTCAAGAAAATTTCTATTTTTAGTAACCATGGCAACACTGTTCATCGAAATCCGAAACTGGTACAGAGAATTATGTATCTCAGTGTAGTCTACTTGTGTGCTAATTAGTATTACTAAAATCAGACCAGAACTGTAGGGGTAGCATTTTGAAGGTATTTCAAGGAAATTTCTATTTTTAGTAACCATGGCAACAATGTTCATCGAAATCAGAAAATCAATATAAAGAATTATGTATCTTAGTGTAGTCTACTTGTTTGCCAAGTTATACTGAAATCAGATCAAAACTGTAGGAGGAATAGCATTTTGAAAGTATTTCACAGAAATTTCTATTTTTAGTAACCATAGCAACATCGTTCATCGAAATCAAAAACCGATAAACAGAATTATGCATCTTAGTGTAGTCTACTTGTGTGCCAAGTTATATTGAAATCAGATCAAAACTGTAGGAGGAGTAGCATTTTGAAAGTATTTCACAGAAATTTCTATTTTTAGTAACCATGGCAACAACGTTCATCGAAATCAAAAACCGATATATAGAATCATGTATCTTAGTGTAGTCTACTTGTGTGCCAAGTTATATTGAAATCAGATCAAAACTGTAGGAGGAGTAGCATTTTGAAAGTATTTCATAGAAATTTCTATTTTTAGTAACCATGGCAACACCGTTCATCGAAATCAAAAACCGATACACAGAATTATGTATCTTAGTATAGTCTACTTGTGTGCCAAGTTATATTGAAATCAGATCAAAACTGTAGGAGGAGTAGCATTTTGAAAAATTGTTTACAGACGGACAGACAGACAGACAGACAGACGGACGGACGACGGACACCTTACTATCGCATAAGCTCTTCTGGTCTCTGACCAGTAGAGCTAAAAACAAGTTTACATTATCAAGTCTCTTCTTCAGGATGTTTACACAACAGAAGATTTAAAGCCCTATGTTTGTCCAGACCTAGGATCACTGCTTAAAAGCATGAATTTATGACACATGTGTGCAAGGAATAATACATGTATTTAGCAATAATTTGGATACATATAATATTACACATTGTTCCAGTTTAATTAATGTACAAGAAATGCTGACTGATTTCTGGTTCAATGTTATCTGACCACTGAAGCATAGAGTCTGGAGATGCTATCACTTAAGTCACTATTTGATTTATACCAATGAAAAGTATAATGATCACATCAAAAGCTCAAAATTTTTCTCAGGTTTTCTTTATGTAAACTTAATAGACAGTCATGCCTCAAGGTAGGAAAAGATGAGTACATTTTCTGTCTGAATTAATTACTATGAAAGTTAACATGGACAGAGATGACTGATAATAACATATTACTTTGTTTTCAAATTTAAAAAAAAAACTGTTTTGCAGATATATATACATTTTCAACAGTGACATTGTTATTTATCCATTAATGATATTTTCACAGAGTAAATATAAATTTATAACAAAAATACTTCACTTTTCCAATTCCCTTTATGAGGAGTGTAAAAGAAGATACTCCCTATAAATAGCGAGAGTGAACCAAAAAATCAAACATTTGCTGGCCAAAAATGGCCAAATTATCTCCAAAATGTTGTTTAAATCCATTGTTTTCAACTTTTAATCTTACAACCGCTTAGCTTTGACATATTTCACAACAGTTAAGCTATGACATCTCAGCCTACACCACTACATTATGAACAACTAAATGGCAAAAGGACCCCTTTCCTAATGTACTAAACAGAAAGCCAAATTGTTTTGTACCTGTAGTTGAAATATGGAATTTATTTTACTTCTAAGTAGAGACATATGTCTCTGTTCTAAGACAGGTTTTTTTTTTTTTTAATAATTTTACCCATGCTTCACACTCATGAAAAAAAAATATATATATATATAATAATCCAGTCCATGAAATAAATTCCATATCCAACAACAGCTAGAACATTGAAAATAATCTAATTATTCCATTAAAAAAATTAGAACTCTCAAAATAATAAAATTTATCATCCTAATGATAAAGTATAAAAAATAAAAAAAAAAAAATACATTTGAGCGATTCTAATTAAAAAAGAAAAGGAAAAAAGAACATTTTTTCTTATGGATTACAGATATTTCTTCCTTGGCAGTTCACAAACTTAAGAAGACCCAAATGAAAATGTTTAATAAATCTAAATGTTTAACCTCCAAAGAAATTCTCTTAATTTTTTTCTTCTATTTATATAAAATTTAATTCTTTAAGTTTTATTAATTAATACAGAATATTAATGCTAAAAAATGAGAATATGCTTTGATTTAGTTCAAGATCTTATAATTAAAGTACATGTACCTTACCACATTCATGGAATCATGTTTAGTGTTTTTACATCATGCAATCTAGAGGAAAGGGGGCGGGGGTCCGGAGTTATTAAAAGTACATAGACTAGTAATGTTACTAAAAAAATGACCTTGGAAAAATTTCTGGATTGGGCTAATGTTCATGTTTTTGTTAAAACTATCACTAGCAATACTTTTATATAAAAAAAATCTTTCATGCATGTAATTTTAGTTTGCCTGGCAAATTTCTTTCCGAGTCCTCTTCAGTTATTAAACATGTGGGCAAGTGAAATTTTAATCTGACAGTGTACATTTTATATTCAGTACACTCAGTATAACTGACTGTTACAATTGGCAATCGATTATATTTTCCAATATAAGTTATTTGATATGTCAAGAAGTGCATACCATTTTTCAATTTCTGTCTCACACAGAAACACCCATATATACAGTATTTTTACATACTGAAAGTACATGTTATTAATACATGCATGTTTATTACATATTCACAATACACAGGTTGGGCACACCCCACCAAATGGTCATTTATCCCCCGTTTGGTGGACAATCTCCCATATCGGAGACGACTTTTACTGACGAAATGGTGGACTTTTTTATTCTATTCCAAATTTTATTAAAATAATGCAAAAGCGCATTTGCATAGGCATTGGGGAATTTTAGTGAATATATTCCTCGCACAATTAATATAGTTCAATCGATTTTCCATGTGCAATTTCTCCATAACTTCGTAAAAACGATACCCATAGTTGTCCGTAACAGCCGAACTTCTTGATCAATCGATCAAAAAAAATTTGATTGTGTCTAGTACGATAAAAATTCTATTTTATCCAGTGGTTTAACTCTTGATAAGTTAAGTTTCAATCGCTTTTTGGGTCTTCGTCAATATTTATTTCCATAAAATCCACGAGCTTCTCATTACTTTACTGGTATGATGGGCACTTATTGCTATAAAGTTAAATTTTTCTATACTTGAACGTAATATCTCTTGTTATTTTCCTTTTAGGATGAAGTTCCATATTCCATGCGACCTTTTTGGTTTAATATGTATATTCCTGATGAATTTAATATATTTGATAAATAATTTTCAATAAAAGATATACAAAGTGACTTTTACAATTATTCTTGTTTTTGTTCCAAGTACATCGTTTTAAAACAATAACTATATCATAATCTAATTTCATTTACTATTTTTATAAAGAACAAAGCTATTACGTACAAAATAAAACGAAATAAAGGCGAAAACTTATTTTTCTTTTGATTTCCTAATTGAAAATTAACACAAATGTGCCTCCATAGTTAAATCTGACTTTTGACCAGGCTAAAAAAAGATAATCGTTTTTATTGGTTTGCATTATTTGATTGGTTGCCCGGATAATCGAAATAGAAAGTAAAGAACGTGATTGACAGGTGCAGCATCGTTGGAGAAGGAGGGAATTTTCTTTTTAAGTAAAAACTGAGAAAGGTTGCTCTTGTTTACGTACGTGACGTTTTATGTCAAATTTTTGAACGACTCTTCGCAAAAAATTACACATTGAATTTTCGATTTTTTTCACTCAGAACACCGATAAATATCTATATTTTATTCCACATGGTTTAAAATTATGCGCCATTCCACGCCATTCTAGAAAATTGAACACAACCATTTTTCTCTCCCAAATGGTCAGTAAAATTCGTCTCCGATATGGGAGGTTGTCCACCAGACGGGGGATAAATGACCATTTGGTGGGGTGTGCCCAACCTGATACACATGCTGCAATCGATCACAATAAATACTATTCTATACTTCCACATATGCAAGTATATGAAATGTGCTGTATGTTATTTAATTTCTGCAGCCATATACTTTAGTAATAAATTCCGTGATGTGAACGGGAAGTGAAAAAGACAACACGTTTATTTGATTGCATAAACAGGTGCGAAATTCAGAACTTTCTTCTAGCGGCGACATTATATGAATTATGAATTTCTAATGCAGATTCATGTTTTCAAGGTATGGATTATGGTGAACTAACCTTAGAAACAAATAAATATTTCTTCTATATATCCATCTACAGCTCAACAGCACAGGTGACATTTCTGTTTGCTCTTCATGCGCAAGTCATTCTATAACCGGAAGCTAGTGAGCAGGTGCGAGAATCAAGAGTTGTCTGCTCCTTATTCTCTCTCTCTCTCTCTCTCATTTTACAACAATCGTCGTCACAAGCCACATGATTTGTGCCCATTCTATTCCATAAACATGCTGCTTGATGATATAAAGAATTTGCTTTTTTTTTTAATTTATCAGCTACAGTGTACAAATATATCTTAAATAAAGACAATCTATGTCTACATGTGAAACTCAAAACACCACCAATGTACTAAATGGGAAGAATTGCTCTTCATTATATGTTGTATTCTGTCTGTTATCTTATCTGTAATTATACATGTTATATGTTTATGCCCATTGGGCCCTGATTTGGTAATAAATCCTATTCTATTCTATTCTATTCTAAAATAAGAGAGGAATATACTCCCAGTTCCAACACCAAAATTTAAAAGTTTGATTTTACTGAAATAGTTTATTTGATTTCCTTCTTCGGTCTTTTCTTTCTTTCCTGGATATGAACGATATACATGTATTGTGTTGTCATTTGTAATGTTTAGAGAAAAGTGTAATAATTAGTGCTAAGGCTGTGTACATAGATTTTTTCTTTTCTTTCTTTTTTTTTTTTTACGTGGCTTGATTTTTTTAAAATCAAAATCTGAAAGTTAAGTGAACAAATACATATGTGGCTTGTTCCAAAAATTAGAAGCAAAAACAAATTATTCCATCTTGTAAATATATTCTTTCGCACCTTATTTGGTCTCGAATTAAAAATATCTAAGGGATCTATACGAATTATATACAGTCCAGTACAATAATGTACCACATTACATGCTTGATCAGTGTTGCAGACATGTATATACAAAGAGAAGGTATATCCTTCCTCAAGCGATATTAATCCACATAAGGAAAAATCTCACTGAATGGAGATTTTTTTCTAAAGTAGATCTTTTTTTTTTTTTAGGAAGTTTGATATAGTTTTCTATTTTCTTTAAATAGATTCAACAGTCTATAGATGCACCATTTTATTAAATATCCGTCTTTTATATCACGTGTCCCAATTCAGACAAGCTATCGCAAAAATCGATTTGATTATAGAGTGTAACAGCTGGCTTAAAACAAGGAGCAATGATGGACTTTTCCACGATGATTTAGAATAATGCACATACTTATCCACCATTGGACAAACACGTCGTGTTTTTAGTAGACTTTTGTAATATTTTTGTTCATACATGATGTTTTCAGTATTTTGGAGTATACTTTTCTTCTGTGTTTCTATAGTACACTCTGTCCACAAAGATGAAGGTAAGATATCATTTCTTTTTAACTTAACAGGACATTCATTTGTGAGATTTTGTAACGTGAATGCTTGCAATGGGAAGACATGATGGTATAAAGTGTTCATCTGCATGAACTATCTACTCTACTATAGTTATTTTAAAACAAGTTTATTTTTATCTCCTCTTCTCGTTAATACTAAATCTAGTATATACCGAATACGTGACGGGTGTATTTAAAGTTTAGGTAGATCCGTTTTGGTTTGTTCCTTTAATTTAAGGACACCCAGAAAAGGGTAAAAGGACATTTTTGACATGGTTATGGTATTATACACTTTTTCTATAAAGGAGAAATAATGGGGTTTGGATGTCTTTTCTAAACCTTCTCTCTTCGCATATATGTAGTCATTCGGCCGGTATAGCGCTGTATAGAAAAAGAAATCGGGGGTTTAAGAAGATTGTTTGACTTTCAATGAATAGTTTGTCTTTCTCAGTCACATTGAACTAAGATTTAACAAAGCGCATTGTTGAAATAAATCCCTTGCATGTAGAAAGTAACCATTCAAAAGGAGGGGTTAAAACACTAGGCATATCCGCCCTTTTTTGATAAAGCTGTTCCTGTATCACACTTTCTTTGAAACTGATTAAATCAATATTCAATTGACATTGAGTATACTAGAAATTATTCATTGAGTCAAATACTCGACAGTTGAAGGTTGATTGATCAAAGAAAACAATATGAACACGACCTGATGAAGAATATCTGCAGGGATGACTTTAAAAAAAACTTAAGAAAATCGATTTGATCGATAACAGATGTTGCCTTCGTGTTTGAATGTTGTATTTGTCATTTATTTAAGTAGAAAAACATTCCATAATTTTTTTTATTTTATCACCAGTTGCTGAAAATATCGATGAAAATGATGTTAATATGCAGCTCTACATGCCGTTAATTTAAAATTGAAAAAGAATAATTTATATATATGACGGGTTTTGAAGAGTGTCTAGATGACTTGATCTAAATTATTTAATTTTTTCTAAATGAATATAATATAAAGTTATTTGTTAGAGAGAATGCAACTCAGATGCATAATTTTTAGTTCTAGATCGCTATAATGGGAACATCGGGGTTCATTACTCATATAAAATGGCGCTGTAAGTATAAAGGTCGCTGTCATTACACATGCTCCTGGGCATGACACAGTCTATTACTAATAACGTGAAAGATGTTATCAAAATCTGTTACCAGAACGAAAACTGTTACTAATTGGTATTCGTAGACATTTGAGATTAATCTTAGAATCAATCTTTCACCCCCACTCCCTCCCCACCCTTCCTTCCTTCTTTTTTAACATGGTCGTAGGAACCGGGGACACCAGGGTGGGGAGCGTACCCCCCCCCGTGCCCCCTCAGTAATAACGTCTGATGAGCCTTTTTTATTTTGCTTGTCAAGGAATTTTTGCTTGGTAGTGCCCCCAACTGAAAATGTTTGGTTCCCCCTCACAACTGAAATCGCTTCCTATACGGGCCTGTTTAATGCGAATTAAAGTATTTAAGAGATATTTAAAACGGAAAAAAAAATATTTTGGTTCATTCCTCATTGTTTTATAAATTGTATAACAATTTGAACACGAGTATCTTTATTGGACTTGCATCTCAGGCTTTACTGGGATGGGGGTGGGGAGTGCAATTAAGTAAACTATCGATGGTGATAGAATACTACTAGTTTATCAGACCAGCATAGAATTAAAACCAGACTGGAATTCCTATTCAATCTACCCATCAACCCTAACCCCCCCCCCCCCACTCATATCCTAACAAGTTCAATATTTCGCATCATGGTTAATAATAGCTGCAAAAAAGTTAATTGGGCGGGGGGTGGGTTACATATAAAATCGGAGAGGGCTGCATTATGACAGCTAAAGATAAATACATTTCGTTAAAAATGTGTTAAAAGATGAATTTGATATCGATATCCAAAGGTTGATGCAGTCAAGATATAAATAAATATAAATAGTTTATATTACACTTGGAAGGTTAGGATATTGTATGACAAGACTAAACACCGCACCAACCTTAGCAACAGAATTTATCTCTAAATATGGTAAAAAGTATCACATTTAAATTGTAAAGATCTGCGCCTAAACAGGTTTCTTTTTCTGTAGCACAATGTCATCCAGAAGAGGTCCACATTACTTTTGGCGACAAAGTATCAGATGTCGTGGTCATGTGGTCAACAGTTGGTAATTGTTCCACTTCGTTAGAATATGGTCCCGGACCGTGGGGATTATCACATACAGCCAGTGGGGATACCAAACTGTTTACAGAAACAAACCCCAACGGAAAACATTTCCTCCACAGGGTTGAGGTTAAGGTAGGTGATGTAGGTGTTTATATATGGACCTTACAATTTTGTTCGATCCGTGAAATTTTCATCAATATAATCATTCTAGTAGATGTAGATGATGATACTAAGTAGTGTTCGAGATGAATACGTTCAAAATCTCTTCTATACTCTAACACAGGACCTGGGTAGTTCCACGACATATTTCTACAGACCTATTAGTAACGGGATAAGCAGCGGACCATTTTACTTCAAGACGCCACCGTCGGGATATGTAAGTGTATTTTGATTTGTTTGAAAAGTTATCAATGAGTAGCATACAGTGCTATTTCAATTCTGAACAACTAGTATAAAAAATGTCTAAGAATGAAAAATCTGTAAAGCAATTTTCTCAGTTTTCATATTCACAAAAGAAAGGGTTCGTCAAAAGCTTGTAGAAAACTCCCCAGAAAACTCCTCAAAATATAGAGTTTTTTTTTCAGGACTGGAGTCCGGAGTTTTTGGTATATGGTGATTTGGGCGTGGAGTCTGATGCGATTCCCGCTTTGGAAACAGAGGCTTTATCAGGGAAATATACGTCAATTTTTCATGTTGGCGACTTTGCATACAATATGGAGGACGATGGAGGAAAAGTTAGCTTCTCTCTCTCTCTCTCTCTCTCTCTCTCTCTCGCTTTTTCATAAATATCAGACTTCATGGCTACTTTTGCATTTTTATAACTAATTTGAAAGCTATGCTTCCAGTTTAATTTGGTAAGGTTTTTTTAAAATATATATTTAGCTTAATTTAAAGTTACTTTTCCGCTGTAATTTTGGACAAAGACTTTAATTGACGAAATTAATGTGGATTGATCTTGCATTTTCCCCATCAAAAAGAAATTGAATAATGATTTAAAATAGTTTAAGTACTATGTGGGACATGGAAACACTTCAATTCAAGCTTCTCTTAACTGCACTTCTATAATATTGTTACTTGAAATAAACTTGCTGGTATTCCTGAATACTTTGTGAAATTCATAAACCTTATACCTTGTCAACTCATATTTTCATACGCATTCAACTTATAATCTCTTTTTTTCATCCCCATTTTCCATCTTGATTTAGCAAGTAAATGACACGCACAAAAATAACTCTTCCGTGGATTTGTGCGAAAATAAGGTGAGAACAGACTTAATCATTTACTAGTGCGCATGTTCTACGGCGTAGAAATATTGGTTGCATGTGGCGCGGAACTGGGATGAAAATTTATATGTACATGAACTTCATATACGTATTATGTCTGCAAATAGAGAGATATTAGATAAACTTTGCATGTGTTTGTTGTTGAAATTTGATAGTTTATTAACAAAACAGAGACTCTGTAAATTCGCAAAGAAATGATCAATTATATAGATTTGACTTTATGTAAACGAAATAAATTCTTATACTGCCTAGAATTTTTTTTAACACTCCCATATTTCGTGTAATTCAAAAAATCAAGTTTTGAGAGTGTAAAACTCCCACCCTCCCAAAGAGAGTCCTAAATCACTAAGATAAAATTTATGAAATACTATTATCAAAAAATTTTATTTACAGAGAGGAGACACGTTTTTACGCTTAATAGAAGATTTTTCTTCAAGGGTGCAGTATCTGACTTCTCCTGGGAATCATGGTAAATATTGTTTACTTGCCTAATTAACCCACTGGCGAATTTAGAGGGGGGCAACCCCCCCCCCTTTTTTGTGACCAAAACTATACATGAGATTAATAAATCAATTCTTTGGTGTGGGATATTGCATTAAGTATACCTTAAAATATATAACGAAAATAAGTTAATAAAAAAACTGTTCCATAAAAACTAAAACCTGAGAGTTTTCGGGGCCCGCACCCCGACCCCCAACTGGTTGGGTCCCCTCTTTCAAGAATCCTGGATCTCCGTTGTAACCATGCAAAAAATGGAGCTACTTATATATGAAAATACATAGATTGACATAACAAAAAATGTTGATTGCTATGTTATATGCTTTGATTTTTTACAGAAATCGACCAAGGTAGTTTCGCTCATTACCGGTATCGTTTTTCTACACCTGGTACATCCTGGCCCATCCCACTGAACAAAATGTGGTACAGCATAGACATAGGACTCGTGCACTTTATCAGGTATTTCAAAATATTTCAGAATCAGAGGGAGTTTTTCAACTGTTTTCATTTAATTTCTTATGGATTGTGAATGTTACTAACCTCGGATTAATTTCAACGTCCCTTCTCTGGAAACTGATCATCTCGGTTATTAGTTCTAGATTCCCTAATATGTCTTTTGTATATTTGATGCCAAGTATCGTAAAAAAAATCTTCATTCTTAGTTCTACTGGTCAAAGACTCTGTGATGGTATTTTAAAGTGACCGTCGTTCAAGCTGTTTGTTTGTCTGTCTGCCTGTAAACAAACTCTCAGAACGCTACCCCTCCTACAACCTTGGTCTAAATTCAGTAAGACTTCGTACACAAGGAATCTGCACCAAGATACTTTTTTATGTGTTACTGTATCGGATTTGGATTTCGACCAAAAATAATTACACTGAATTAAAACAGAAAAACTGTATGAAATTCTTAATAAATTATAAACATTTGTGTGAGATGTTTTCAAAATGTTTTAATCCCTCCTGCAGTTTAAGTCTGATTTCAATACTTGGTACAGAAGTAGACTACAATGAGATATCGGATTTTGATTTTTGATGAACGCCGGTGTTCCACAGGATACTGAAAAAAGAAATTTATGTGAAATTCTTTCAAAACACTAGTCCTCCATAGATTTTTGTTACGATTAAAAAGGATAAAACAAAAAACCGGTATACAACACGGTATATTATACTTTCATGTAAATTAGTTGAATCTGATTCGTCGAGAAACATTTGTTATAAAACACCATTACCCGCTGAATAATGAAGACACGCCCTCTAGCGTAGGAACAGTCAACATTGCTTGACGACGGGTGTTATTCCAAAAAGATATTGACTGTGCAGAATTGATGCGCGGAAGGTTCACTGTAATATGTATTTGTATAAAACATTCAGTATAATATACTGCGCCTCGGTTGACAATGGTTTTCTTGGGGTGAAAATTGTCAGTGTTACACTAAACTACATGCAGTATTTATATAATACTACACTAAGGTACATGATGATGTATATCGGTTTCTAATTACGATTGACAATTTTGCAATGGTTACTAAAAATAAAATAATGTATGAGAATCTTTCAAACTGCTCCTCCTTTACAGTTTTGGTCAATAAAATTTGGTACACATGTAGACTAAACCAGGGATCACTATTCTATTTATCGTTGTTGGCATGCATAGCTTCTTATTAGTGTGAAGTCCAGGTCCAGGTGCGACTTTTCTTTTTTCACTATTATAATTTTAAGTACTAATCAGTAGAACTACACTCTCTTCAGAGACGCATGGTTTCGGAAAATCAAATCTCAAAAAGAGATTTGAACTTCCTATACATCAAGTTCTCCACTTGAATATGATAATTTCAAGCAATATTTCTTCTCATGCGAACTATCAACAGAAAAAGTCATATTCTTTTACACTCTACTTATCACGAATGGCGATTTACATCTTCCCAACAGCTATTCCACGGAAGTGTTTTTCACGTCTGACGGACGGTACATCGCCGAACAGGAAACATGGCTCAAGGCAGATTTAAAGCAAGCAAACGACAACAGAGCACGTTGTCCCTGGGTCATCGTTCTGGGTCACCGCCCAATGTATTGCTCCAATAGTGATGAGGATGACTGCACAAAGACAGACTCTAAAGTTCGCGCCGGGTAGGCATCTTCTATATTATTCATTCTGTCTAGATCTATAAATGATACTGGTGTAGACTTCCTACTAGTCACCCTTGATATAGCAAAAATGACTAAAGATGAATTCAAAATGTTTATTTAAAAACCTTGCAAAGTTTCAAAATCAATATAAAAACAGCTGCAAATATTCATCTTTTTTGTATCGTTGGGTAAGTTCTTGCTGCAAGGTGCAGATACGCTCACAATCCACTGATCTGGAAATTTAATTACAATTTACCAATTCTAATCATAGAAAAAAGACAAATAAAAATCATAGATTTGAAGACATTTTCTTTAATCATAGATTGGAAGACATTTTCTTCAACTATGGAGTTGACTTAGTTCTACAAGCACACGAGCATTCTTATGAGCGATTGTGGCCGCAGTATAAAGGAGTGGTACTCAGCAAGAACTATACAAATCCCCAGGCACCAGTTCAGCTCATCTCGGGAGCAGCAGGGAGCAAGTATAAGGGAGATAACGAAAAAGCCAATAGAGGTAATCAGTGTCTCTGAAAAATGTAGCAATTCTACCGAGTTCATAACGAATTGTAGAACTTATATCATTGTGTGCAATATAGGCATATCAATTGTCTGCATAGATGTTAGTAATTTCACACCAGGTTTAGATGGTCCTCGTATGTGTCAAATTACTTCCTTGAGAACTTAATGGAGGATCGATGCTGGTGTTACAGGAATATTGCTCATTTACGTATCTGCTAAATCATAAATGTATCCAATAATTACAAGTCTCATTTATATCGTTTTGTTTTCTAGGAGAATGGTCTGCATTTGCAAATACAGATGAATCTCTAAATAGCGTGGGCAAATTGAAAATTATGAATTCAACGCACTTGTATTGGGAACAATACAATTTGTTAACAAAACGTGTGATTGATTCAGTTATAATCGTACAAGATAACCACGGGCCATTCAAACAACAAAAATTATCCAATGATGTCACGCAGAAAATTGAAAAAATTAAGCAAAAGGAGAAAGAGAAGATTGAAAGCTCAAAGATTAATCCGTCTCCACCTAATCGTCATGGAGAATCTGGTAATTCATCAGGAAGCACGAAGTCTTTAGGCACCGGTCAAAAAATAAAGGAAATGTTGACTCACGTTGATAAAAGAATAGCGATTGGGGTTGGTAGCGGAGTTGGTGCTCTTATTTTACTAATTGTGATAATATGTGTTGTAAAAAAGAAGAAAGCTGCTACAGTACGGAAGTACCGAAGATGGGACGATAAAGTTGATTACGGAAGAAAGTTCTACTCTAGTTACAATCACGTGGATTCTGGAGATAAGGAAGCAGACGACTTTGAAGTTGACGTCAGTGATGGTAATCTACCAACTAGTAAACTTTTAACAGACGACCGGAAATGACGTATGTAATACCCACTGGTGTCCTTCAAAAAGCCAAAGTCCAATGTGTGGTCAAAGATAAAAAAAAATGCTGGCTCTTGCCATTCTGCCAGTTGTGTGCCAAATTCCATAAAGAACAAATATCAACGAACATACATGGAAAATTATATTTTTCACGATCATTTGTATCATCGTTATGATACAATTCAAAGAAACATAATTATTGCACACTGAAAACAATTTGTGCCCGAATATATATATACAAGTATCTCTCAATATTTTAAATACGTTAAATTCAAAATGGTATTGAATTTGCAAAAGTTCTTTACTTCAGCGAAGCGTTATGTAAAATTGCACATCGATCCAAGATCGGAAATCGATAGATTTGTTGAAAAAATCATTATGTTATTCAGACCCATGTGATCTACATTAACATGAGTCATAACTGTATCTAGTCATAAGATGAAGAAAAACGTAAATGCAAATATTACTTTTTTACTCTTAAAGATACTCATTTTTTTATGTTTCTCAGCGAAATTTCTGAATACAGAATACTTAGGCCCGGGTACTGGGCTAGCAACATTTCGGGGGTTGGGTGGGGGGGGGGGGAGCATATTCAGATTTTTAAATATGTTCCCTTGAAAATGTATTAGAGGACGCGGACACATTCAGAGCTACTTGGGGCAATATGTAATTTTGTGTATATGTACACAGTGCTATTTAATAAGTCTCTTGTAGCTATTAGACTTAAATTATTAGTGTAGAAACGTGAACTGTCTATCATTATTTCGAAAAGGATAGGTTAACTTTATTCTTTTTCATCAAAATGCCTTTTCTTCCGAAGATGCTTCAAACGTATTCACAGTCGTCAAAGCATTTGAAATCTGTTAGCGGATTTTGCATATTTGGGGTTGTTAAAGGGACTGGAACACAGATTTGAAGTTAATATTCTCTAAAATTTTCAGTATATAATATCATGATTTATGTGTTGCTAGAGCATTTCACGCAGAAATATAATAGAAGCGTGTTAAGAAACTTCTTTTATCTGCAAATTATTAAAACTACGATTTTCGGGACGCGTTTGATTGACACATATTATCCTTTCACTTTCATGAAGTAAAGTTTATCCTTAATACTTAGGAAAAGTAGAAATTTTGTTGTGCATTAATGAAAAATATTAAAACTGTAATCTAGGAATTCAGAGTAGAAGTGTGAGAAATCAAAACCATCTCACCAGTATTGTCAGTCCGTGCTCAGTGATGCGTACAGGGTAAACAAAAGGAACACATCCGATAAAACGTGAACACTAACAATAACAGAGCTTGTGCCCTGTTTACAAAAATAAATGTTTGACGTGATGTAAAAAAGAATGTCGTTGCCATTGAATTCTAAGCATTTCGTGTAAGTTTAATTCATTAAACTGAATTTAGTTTTTGAATAAAAATGTCAACTGTGTCCAGGCCCCTTTAATCTCAAATGGAAACACGTCTATGAGATTTGTAGTTTGTTACTGAAAGGAATCGCATGTTGTTTTGTCAGTAATCAATGTTGTTTGTGGTTGTTGTCTTCACTGTTTTTGTAGAGATAATGTCAAGAATTTTCCTTGAATGTTGTCCTGGCGAGGGGTGTCAAGTATTGGGTGTACATGTATTTATGTTGTGTTGGTGAAGGTTGATGTTGTACAGTTTTTTTTATATATGTTGTTTTGGTGAAGGGTTGTTGTTATTGTCCAGTATTTTGTGTGATTTCACTGCATTGGCAAAATGTAAGCGTGATGTTTGGACAAAGATCTTTTATGTCATGAAAGATTATTGTTTTTATTTGTTGTTTTGGTTAAGGGCTGTGTTGTTAATGTTTTGGTTTGTGTTGTTTGGGTGGAGGGTTGGTTTGGTGTTGTCAGAGTTTTGGTTTGGGTGAAGGGTTGCTGTTGTCTAAGAGTTGATGTGTTTGTGATGTTTTCATAAAGGGCTAGTGTTGTAAAAGTTCGTCTATGTTGTTTTTCGAAGGGTTGGTGTTGTTAAGGTTTTGATAGGTGTTGTTTTTGTGAAGGGTTGGTGTTGTCAAGATTTTAGTATGTTTGTTGTTTTGGTGAAGGGTTGTTGTTGCAAAGTTAGTGTTGTGTTGTTTTAGTAATGGCGTTGTAAAATGTGTGTTGTCAGAAATTCGGGATATTATGTTGTTTTGATGAAAGGTTAGTGTTTTTAACATTTAATATCTGAATGTTTTGTCGTTGTAGCAAAATGTTTGTGTCGTAAGCTATAGTATATTTGCTTGTGCATTAAGGGTTTTATTTGTCCATTTTTTTTAATTACTTATTTAATAGAATGATCAAATCAATCAAATGATTGTTTAGATGAGAAGGCTTTGTATTGTTTTCGTGAAGATGTAGCATATATTATTAAATATTTTGGCATGGTACCCTATGCTACAGTAGATTTGTGTCATTCTCGCCAGTTAGAAATTTTGTTGCACGTTTGGCTAAAATTACCGGGTATTGTTTGTGTAAGTGAAGATTTGTAATTGACTGGTTCTAGATTGGAATAGTGAACAAAAATGTACAGATCTTCAGATGGTAAGTTTGAGCTACTATTTTTGCGAGTCGAGCGTTTGTAGTGTTTGAGTATATGTAAATCTATGTAAATATTGTAAGAGTGTTCTTGGGTTGATAAAGGCGACTGTGCATACTTTGATTTATCTTCACTGCCAATCAGTAAAAAGTTTAAAAAAAATTGTTTTATCATGTTGTTGATATATGGATTTATACAAAGAAGAATGAAAATTAAAATTGTATTCTGTTGGTTTAAGGCGAGATATTGCTTTTTGCATGTGCTAAGTTATGTTTACTGACTTATAGAAATTACATGGTTGTATTGTTTTTTGGTTTTTCGTGACCTTTTTTCTCATACTACGTCTATAATTTTTTTTTTATACTTGACCAAACTTGATCTATTTAATCTTAGCAATAGTCCCGCAATTCATTGTGTTGATCATTTGTAATTAGTCCATATGATAATTTTATTTAATCTGTCATCAATTGAAATGCATTTTTAAAATGATATTTTGTATTTTCTGGTGCTGTGTACAAGGTGGAGGAATGATACATATATGAATGTAAAAACTTTGTATTAAAAAATCTGAATAAATAATAATTGCATCCGCTGTCATTCTAAGATTTTTCCAAATAAACAACTTGAATAGAGCGACAAAAATACCCCTCCTGTGCTAGCAAAGATAAGAACAATCAAAATCAGTGCCTAAATAAGCCAACCTGCTTGAAGCCCACGCTCAGTACAACTCTCCGTCATACGAAACCTCATCAAATTGACAAGGATGAAATAATTCATGATGTAATTTGATTCTGTAAAAAAGAATTCTTAAGGAAGCTCTAGGCACTGCTCACTGAAGAGTTCTAATTATGTAGCTTGAGTGGTCTACCCTTTGATGTAAAATAGAATAAATGCATGGAAATATGCAGGAAATGACACACTATAAAATAGAATAGAGATTCTTAACATTATAATAGAGCAAGATAAATTTATTGAAAACATTATTTACATGCATTTTACAAACTAAGTAAACAAAGCGATTTATGTTCACTAACACTTCATTGTCCGAGAATAATTTTTCATGTAGAAATATGGGAAGTACCCTTGTTGAGAATGAACGAGATAAACTCAACGTACAACTTTAAGGTAGTCCTCCGGTTCCGAAAATCAGCTTTTCAGTAATTGCAAATTCTCACCAAAATGTCTAGGATGTCACAGAATAACGTGTATTTACCCCTGGTATTTCTTCAAAGTTCATCACTAAAGTTAATCATATTATATAGGGAAAATTATCAGATCTCCGATATATTTTAAGTAAATGCGAATAAAAGCACCAGCTATGGATTTTCTACTTGAAAACTGATCAACAAATATATTTTTGGATTCAAAATTATAGGTATCCAGGCATTTGGAGAAAATTGCATGTTTTGCACACTTACACAGTATTTTAGTTCTGTTTACTTCAATTGTTATAGAATACATAGTGTAAAAAGTTTTTGTTAGCATTTCAAGACATCCCAGATTACTTCTTATTTCATATCATGTTAATAAGCACCGGGATCTAATGCTACATTGTAGGAAATTTCATTTCTCTAAAAATGAATTTTATTTTTTTACTTTTGTGGGGTACAAATTTCAACTTTTTATAATATCATTTCTAAGACTTCAAAGAACCATAAATCATATTGAGATGCATGAAATGAAAATTGTTGCAAGAAAATATTTCAATTTCAAGCTTCATTTTCAGACTTTTTAAATTAAATAATAGATTTAAGAGTTATCATTCCTAGCTGAGGATCGGATGTCCTTAAATGATACTATTTCCTCAAAACCCCAAAACTTAAAAAAAAAAAATTAATAAATAAATTCGACGGTCGATATTCCATAAGGAGGCTTTTAGAGTGAAGGTTTAAATTCAAATTTGCTGGTAATACGAGAGATAGACAGATACATGAAATTGCCCATAAAAAGCTAATTGGATGTAGATTAAGAGATTAAGTGTTTAAACGTATAACTTAAACCTGTATAAACGTTTTATTGGAGATAAATATAACCTGAAGACATTTACATTGTCGATTTGTACATGTAGTCTGTTCCAACAGACAAGAAAGTGTCTTTTCAGAATTTTTTAAGCCGCTATTAAAAAAACACTTCGATAATGTTACAATAAAAACAATTTGCAAGAAATTGGAAGGAATGGCCTTATTAAGGAAAAAAGACAATAGACATATAATCGATGAACTGTACAATAAAATCTGTTATGATTTTGAACTGAGGAATACAACATGCATATATATGAAATACATTTGCAACAGCATTATTGCCACTAGTATCGGTTTCAGAAGTTTACAACTATGTAGATACACCTGTAACTACTTTATAAAAGGACGTAGTACCAGGATGTTCAAAATCCACTTAACATACTGGGCACTCTGATGTTGTCATAATCAGTGTAACTCTGCATTATTTTTATTATTCTTTTTTTGTGTATGTAAAGGCACATGTACATTACATATTTGACATGTCAAGAGAGGGACTTTACATTAACAATAACAAAGAAAATAGCCCCAACTATGATGACACTGGCCAAACTGGTCATAAAACAAATTTTGTCAAGCCTTGATGATATCTTTTTCCATGTTATAGGAGATATTTCAGGGATCTCGAAAGCAACTTTTGTCATTTCTAGATCTTTTTCTGTTGTTAAATTGTCTACACTTCCAGAACTCTTTTTGCAGGAACCACAAGAAAATAAATTGTAACATCGCATAAAAAATGGCGATATTTCCTCCTCTTCCTCCTTGTGATGTACACGAAGAATGAAGATTGTCTCCACGCAGATAAGACCGGAAATCATAAGATAAGTGGCCAAAATATACCCTATCACTGGCATAGGCTTGGATACTTGCGGTAGACCATCTGATACCAAGGACAGAAAGACCGCCAAAGCGAGAAGACACGTGATGGAGTACCCTACACGTTCACCACTATCTGCTGGTAAAATAAACACCAAAGTGTTTAACATCAGCATTACAAATACTGGAATAAAAAGATTGACAACGAAAAACAAAGGGCGTCTTTCCAGATTGAGGTTAAAGACCACGACCGAGTTTTCTCCAAGAAGCTCAAACTTGGTTTCTGTGGATGCCAAAACCCAGGCTCCATTTTCACTGTAATGAGTTAAATCGACGACCGATTGCGATGGATACATCAAGACCTCATTTTTGTTATAATCCCAGACCATGATTTTCATGCTGCACGTTTGTTTGTCAAAGGGAAAGTACCTTGTGTCAAAATCACACGTTGTTTGGTACCTATCGGCAATGTTCCAGTAGGCATTGCCGTCGGCGTAGTATTTGATTTTCGATTGTTTGAATCCTAAAAGACCCACATTTGTGGACATAGGGTTAAGAAATGTCATTGGTGGCTTCCACACAAGTGACTCGTCGATATTAATCGAAAAGGTTCCTCCATACGAAAAGGGATTCCACTGAATAACTTCGTCACGCCAGTCTATGCTGAAACTTCCTACACTGACCACTTCGCTGGTCACTTCGTCTACGTTTGCGATGGTCAGCAAATGGAACGCTAACGTAACGTTCATGGCATTGTTCTGGTCAGTCACGGGTCTGGCATCCTTATTGTAACCAGATAAAACCGCGGTGTGAACGCTGTTGTATTCTGTCAGAGTCCCTCCGTCAATTTTTGGGGGGAGTAACAATAAGATTATAAGACATACAAATCTAACCAACCCATGTGTCATCATCACTGCCATAGGAGTTTTCTGATGTGTTTCCATCTAAATTCTTCAGAATCAACACAAGACCTAAAATCTTTTCAAATAAAAAAATCACTGACGCTTCTGATTCACAGGACAGACAATGGTGACTATTGGCGATTTTCAAATTCTTTTCGAGATCAGATGTAATTTTTTGTCCAGTAACGGTTTTTCTTGCTAGCACTTAAAAGGATGGACAAAACTAATTGCTGGGCATTTAAAGAAATGTAAAATATCTCCGAGGCTGTTTGCATTAAGCATTACAGACAATGTTTAGTGTATTTCAGTTCTGTCACATGTTAATCCATTATTAGACATGTTATCGTTGAAATAAGTAATTGGTTTAGCTTAAGTAATGTATCTTAATGCGTAGATATAACAAACGTTTTTAATGCCATGTCCAAATATGTTACAAAGAATTACATGAAAGAAGGCAATAAGACATTTTACACCAACAAGTGAATTTTTAGAAGAATTGTTATATATCAAAGTCAAAAGATCACTTTAGCAAGATCGATGACGTACGAGGGTTGTTCGGAAAGATGTCAATCTTCGTTATCCATCTTAGAGAAATTTAAAATGAGCACATTATTTTATGTTAAAATTTTTATTTTGTTGATGTGTGAAGTTTCATTCTATGTGATTTAATAGAAGTCATGTTATTTAATTTAAAATCAACAAGTATGGGAACCACGGAGTAAACTCAACAACATAGCGTCATGAGGTTTTCAAAAATACTCTCCCGATACATTTCACATAGTATGGCCCAATACCAGTGCACTTACTAAAAACGTTTCTTTATCACTTGAAATTTATTTTACTAACATTTGTTCCAGATTAATAATTTTGTTTGTCAGTGTTATATTTTTTTTTTCATTGCGTAACTGTGCTTTCACAAGATCAGCAACTGTGAAGCGCCTAAGTCTCACCATGACCTTACTAACTTTTTTAAGTTTTTGAACATATTTTTACAGATAATCAGTTTTCTCACATAATCTCTATCATTCAAATACCACCTGCGTCATGTACACACACATGCATGGCTCGGTTTTGACATATTTCCTACTTCTTCCAGCATTTTCAGATTTTTTTCAGGAGTTTCCCAGAGTACAACACAAAATTGTATCGTTAACTGCTGCTCCGTGACTACTACGACGTTATCTTTTTTTCCCTTTTTTTCAATGAGGACTGCCTATCTTCTGAAATTTATTTCTTTTCAACGAAGCAAAATATTAAGTCATAATTTGGAAACAGTTCTTAATTTGAATGTCCAGAATTTTTCTGTTTTTGCGCCATTTTACAGAGGATATTACTATAGACATTATTTAGTGTACTAATTGTAAATTTTGACCTGCGCCGCGATCCGTTTTCGGCATTTTTTAAACTCTCTAAATAAGTTTGAAATAAATCACGATATTTTAACATTTATTTATACACTTCATTTGAATTTTTTTGTTGAAACATTTTTACGAAATTTGGACATAATATGACGTGAAATTAAAAAAAAAAGTTATGACAGTAGTCCGCGAACTTTCCGAACCCTCGTAATTTATCATCTTTTGTAAAACGACACATCTTCTAAATCTGATAATATTCTTGGTATCTGTGCAAGAGATACTGGTACATTTGAACGTACTGGAAAATGAAATACATTTTCTTTTACATTGTCCTTTCTACAAGGAAAAAAAAAGAATCAAACTTCTAAATGAAATAAGCACGGAAACAATACATAAATTTTAATACCTTAGATAGTTATCAAAAATATTTGTAGGTCATTACATTTGTAGATGTGAAAAGATTGATATTTTACTTCAACTTGGAAACTACCTCTCTAATCATTTAACGTAACATTTTAAATCTCATAATTGATTTACTGTCGTTGTCTACGATTCTATTTCTTTCATGCCTCTCTGTGGGCCCTTGATTGAAAATAAACTATTGTCTATCGGAACAGTTAGAACTAAAAAATACTCCTATATGGTAGGTATGAAATATCCCGATTGGTTTGCAACATCATATAATCAAAGTGCGATTTACTTAAAAAAAGATTTGTTTTTTTTTTTTAAAGAATTGATCCCTGGATAAATATCAATGTTATTATCACGTTCTGTATACGTCAAAGAAAAAAAACAAACATGTTGACAACACAAAGGCGAGATCTGTTATTAAGAATATATTAAGTCTAAATCACTCATCCAATCTTAGTATGGCTAATCAGATTTATCGCGAAACCCTTTTTCCCACATTCTTTTGACCATTTGTAGATGTTTAAAGTGCCCATATATAAATCTTTGAAAGGGTAGAATTAGAAACCAGTGTAAAAAAAAAAAAAGATTATTTGTCACACTCTATGCAGGAAAAGGAACTTATTTTCTTCGAGTCTGTACAATCGAGTGTATTTACAGGAGTTGTAAAATCGTTTCAACTTAACATCGTATCTGCAGAACTGTAGCTCTCTGGTTGAAAAAATTCAGACAGACAAATCAGAGAGCTACAGATCTAAGAGTCCTTAAAACCTTCGATTTACGCTTCTTTTTTTTTTTTTTTTTTGGTCGTTCACTTTGAATATGGGTATTATTTCTTGTGTTATATGCATTCCCATGTCAAAAGCATGGTATCCGTAAATTAACCATATACTCATTTAATCTCATAATCTTGTTACACTAATCACCTTTCAACGGTTCCAAACCGTACGAAAGATCACCAATGCAAAATTAACAGATTAAAATAAAACCGATAGACTCGATTGCAATATACGTTGCAAAGCGAACGATTCTAGATGGCGCGCGAGTCTGTAAATTATGGAATGCCGAAGGGTCAACTCTGTTATTTCTCAAAGTACATGTAAAGCTTAATTTGTAGATTTTTTTTCAGATTGTACTGTCACAAATCGTAATACTATCCTGTGCAAAATGTACAAAAAAACTAATTCGTAGACTAGCGATTTGTCAACTCGTGAAATGTAAAATTTATTACTTTACATTTAGCTAGTAGCAGCTAGGTAGAATAAATGTTTCATAACAAATCAGAGGTGCAGTATCAAATTATGATTTTTTTACTGGAACGTTGATTCTACTCAATTGTTCTTATTTTTTCATAATGAACACCATGCGCAGATCTAGAGGAGCCCCCCCCCCCCCCCCCGGAATCTGCGGAGTATTGTGTACATAGTAAAGTAACCAAAATGACCTTGGACAACCCCCGACCCCGGAAAACGCTATGGCAAGAAGAGTTATACATATGAAGCTGAAGAAGTAAAGGTTCGCCCCCCCCCCCCTTCAAAAACGATACTACATGCCTGGTACCATTGAGATATTTCTATGCACTGCTTATGTATTAGTATATGTATATTATATGCATGTACATATTATATATAGTTTAATTTAAAAATATATTAATTTAATTGATCTTGAGTGCGCTTTCCTTTTTATCTTCATCCTCATTTAACACAAAGATAGACTTTCTGAACTAAATAAAATTTCTGAAATAAACTTTGTAAGATTCAAGGTTTACAAACAACCGAAAAGGAACGATTTCATCATTGCAGCCCTCAGTTTTTTTTTTTAAATTTGGTACATTGGAGGAAAAGACAAATGCAAATCTGAAGCTAAGACACACCTGCTGTTACGGGGACACCTCAATTCAATAGCAGTAACAAAAACATAGGATTATTGTAAGAATAAGTCTGTTTAGATTTCTATTTATCGACATTCCGTATATAAAAATGTACTGATTTTTCAAGGACGCTTTAGAATGTTTCGACACAGCTAGAAGTGATTGATTATAGTACGTTATTGTAGCATAAGCCGCAGGTGCTTTTGGAGAGAAACCCCACCCGTCTGTAGTACATACACAAACTGGCCCAATAGATTTTTTTTTTTTACAATTTTTTTTGTTTTGTTAATTTTTCCACTACATTAACAATGTGTTCCAGGCGTGGATCCAGGATTTTTTCCAGGGGGGTCCATCCAAGCCCCCCCCCCCCCCCCAAAAAAAAAATCCGACCCAAAAATTTATTGACAACAAAAAAAAAAAAGGTAAACTCCTTTCCCAAGCGTGAAAAACCTATTTCATGGGTTGGTTTGGGGTTCCTTCACTTCTTCAGATCAGCTTCATATGTACAACTCTTCCTCCTACCAACTGAACAGGGGTCTGCGTTTTCCAAAGGGGGAGGATCATCCGATGGGTCAAGGTCATTTTTAGTTACTTTACTATATACATTAAATAACTCCGCAGATCCCAGGGGAGTGGGGCGACCCCCTCTAGATCCTTGCATGGTGGTATCGTAATAAATTTTACATTTCACAAGTTGATAAATCGCTAGTCTACAATTTACAATGTTGTGCATTGACACAGTTTTCTTACAAAATACATTATAGTTTACAGCACACAGGATAATTTTACAAGTTGTGATACAACTTAACACAGGATAGTTTTACAAGTTGTGATGGTAATTTGCAAAAAAAAAAAAAATTAAAAAAATAAATAAATACACAATCTACAAATTAAGCTTTACATGTACTAACAGAGTTGAACCCTTTTTGCCTCCATAATTTACGGACTCGCGCGCCATCTAGCGTTAATTCAGATAACTTTTTTCTTGCGCGCCATCTAACGTCAATTCAGTGAATGACTGTTTTGCAACGTCTGTTAATTTTGCAATCGAGTTTTATTTTAATCTGTTGATTTTGCATTGATGATCGCTCGTTTTGCAAGGGACTCTGTTGATTTTGCAATGGAGTCTGTTGAATTTATTTTAAGCTGTTTATTTTGAATTTCAGTACATTTTTTAGAGAAATTAATTGTTCGTTTTGCTTTATCGTCTTTTATACCCTTTCCGCCTCCCAGTAATATGTATATATTAAACAAGAAGTAATACCCGAAGCCACAGGCACTTGGGGTATGGACCCTTTTTAAATCTGGGGTCGAGTCACCTTTTTCCTATTTTTATATTCTAATATGCACTATATGTTATCAATAATGTAACTCTTTTGTCTCTATATGCTGTTTTTAAATATACCGTTTTCGACTGATACATGAAAATTTTTATGTATCAGTCGAAAACGGTATATTTAAAAACAGTATATAGAGATTTAAAAAGAAAAAAAAATGGAGAAAGGGGGGGGGGGTCCATACCCCAAGTGCCTGAAGCGAGCGACAAAAAATCGAAAGTTTTACAATGCTTGGATCTGTAGCTCTCTGGTTTGTCTGTCCGAATTTTCTCAACCAGAGAGCTACAGTTCTGCAGCTATTTAACATTGGTGTTCATTTTCAATATCTGTACGAATCTCAAAATGACAATACTGGTACATCAAGACATTTTTATACTTCCATATCCATTACTTACTCGTTGTACCATAGGACTGGCGGTAAATTTAGATTTTGCTTTCATGTTGCTGTGGTGTATTTGCCAGAAGAATCACAGTTTTTTTTAAGTCACGCCCACCTTTTGGCATCAAGCCATACTGTGTCAAGACCTTGACTAATGAATGAATGAATGATGTCAATTTCAAGACCAAGGCAATGGCTGATGAATGAATTAAGTCAACATTTTAAATTTCAAAAATACTAACATTATTTAGCTTGTCGGTGTCCGCTTCATAAATGGTTCTGTATGTTTTCTCCGCGTATCCTTAATCAGTAAATGATACGTCCTATCTCGAATTCTCGTCATTTTCTTTCCCGTCTCCAAATACATATAGCAATTTCACATCAGAAGTCCCCGCATTTTTTTACTTCCAATACCATTTCAAACTTTCATTAAAATGTCACAAATCATTTCATTTTTTTCTGTACGCCGATTGCCATAAAGAAAAAGTTCAATGCCGATGTTTCCCATATCCATCCCCCCTTTTTTCAAAAAAAAAAACGATCTAGAAAGATAACTTTTCTTTCAGAGTTGACGGCTTGAACATAAAAGCCTACAATCGCTACCCCTATACCTGTACCTGACAAAAATCATGTTTTCTGCGTCTTCAACATTTCAAAGGTACAATATCTTCACACGTACCAATTCCGATTTTTTTTATCAACAACTTGTAGTAGCAGTGCCGCAGTAAAGTATGATCCTTGCAGATGGAGACAGCTATTTATACAGACTCCGGACCGTGTCTTGACACCTCGTAGTAGGCGGTGCTATTTATCAACTCGCTTTTCTCTCATTGGTCCTCTGGTACAAGTAACTTACACAATAGATATTAATTGGTTAGCTGTAAATACTCCGCCCCTCGTGAATGAAAAACTGTGAGTGTATTTACAGCTAACCAATTAATATCTATAGTGTAACTATAACATATAGCACTTGTTGTACACTAGCTAATACTTGCGCTCTCTCCTGGTAATGCCACAAGTATTGATCGACAAAAAAAGTTTTTCTTCGGGGTAAAAATTTTATTCATAGAATCTTTTCGTTAACTTTGACATGATTTTTGCGAACACGCCTTTGTGAGCCTTGTTGTAGGCTGCTCGGTTGTCATGGAAACAGAAGGACGCCGTTCTGTCACAGTCACACAGAGCTTTGTGGCAAGGACGGTCGTCGTCTGTAAATAGACAGTAGACGAGTTTACATATTCATGTAGTATTCGTACTTGCTCATATTTTACCAAACAAAGCATTGAATATGGCAATGAGAATGTATGCACATGAAATTAAGCTGAATTGAGACTTATCCGTAGTAATGTATTCAATGTCAGGAATGATCAGCAGCTTTAGGAACATTGTCGTATGTTATGCACAATTCTAAAGTGATTAATCTAATTCAAGGGTTTTCGTTCAACAAAATAGAATATCTAATGCCTCATTTTTGTATGCTTGATATTCTGTATAAAATCTGATGAGCCTTTGGCTTAAAGAATAAAATAAACTGAAACTGAAACATAACACCTACAATTAAGAATAAGTATTTTATTGAATCAAAGGTTATTTTAACCACTTACTACATTCGACTGTCCCTTTTTTGATTTCAGACTTGTATTTTAATGTATACACATTCCCACACAGAGGATCGGCTATAATTTCATCATAACAGTTATCGTGGTGGAAACAACACCTACAAAATACAAGACCTGAAACATTTCAGAAACTACCGAATATTACTTTTGAATTTTCGGGGCAATTTTATTAAGTTTTTATCTCACAGAGCATAGGCGTCGGAAGCAAATTGAAAGTGGGGTGGCTAATTGAAAGTGGGGGGGGGGGGGGCTAAACCAACGAAGAAAGGTAAGCCCCAATTTTCAATGCCTATATTATGTCTATCTTTGCAAAAAAAATTAGGGGGGGGGGCTAAGCCCGCCTCCCCTAGCCCCCCCCCCCCGGTTTCGACGCCTATGCAGAAAGCATGTACAGTCTAATTTGACGTGGAAAAGGTAATATAAATCTTATGATTGACTTTTATTATTATTTATAAGAATCATATTTATCTTATTCGAGGTAACAACAAAAGGCTCCCACAAACCAGATTTGCTCACCTGGCTGCAAAAGAAAATCTGGGTTTTGTCAGATATTGCCTATACTATAGTAAGCTTTTATTTCTGGGTTATTCGCAAAAAAATAAATAAATAAATAAAAAATTAAAAAATAAAATAAATTAAATAAATAAATACATGAAAATAAAAATAACAATAAAAAATAAGCATGCTTGTTACCCGTTTTTTATTGGATCGAAATGAAAAGTGGATCGTTTGACGAATTGAAGAGAACATACCACACGTTAATACTAGAAGTTTCAGAGAAAAAAAAAAGATTCCAGGAAGTTTTATGTAGCAGAAAAGATTTTTAAAAAAATTTCCCTGAAACTTAATTCAGATCAGAGAATTTGACATTTCTAAGCTCATAACACCAATAGGGTGTAAAGATTGCAAAGATTTTAATATGAAAATTTCTTTTAAGTGCCTAGATCTTGCCATCCTTATTATTTTCATTCTGCCAGATTTTGCCTTTCTGCTTTTTTCTGAGTTATTAACAAAAAATGCATGTCATCCCCAACCCATCTCCAATGTTCTATTAACAGTAACTTTTTTATTGGATCAAAATGAAAAGTGAATCGTTTTATATAGAGGACATTTCCATCTCAGAAAAATAGAGAATTTTTCTTTAAGTTTACGATGACGTCGGAGGCCAAGTACAAGTGATGCCATGAGCTCACTTGGCCCTCTCCGCCATGTGATCTAAAAATTATCTATTCCTGATGCCCTTCTCTTCTACAGGGATGCCCTTCTCTTCTACAGGAAAAATTAGCCCATACTCATCAATTGCATCCACCACACTTCCGTTTCCGCCTAGACCACACCAGTTTCCGTAGTCACTAAGGTCAAATGGGTCACGACCAGTTGTCAAGTAGATCATCCGACTAAACTGGTTTAAGTCTCGCTTTCTTCTTCCAGCATCTATTATATATAGCAGATGCATTTTACAGTACAAATACTAAATCTAAACATACACACATAATCTGAAACATTCAATAGGGTGAATGTAACTTTTTTATGTTCCCGTAATTGAAAATTTGGGTGCATATAGTTTTTGGTCTGTCCGTCCTGTTGTTTGTTTGTCCGCAAAAACTTTAACCTTGCTCATAACTATTGAATGGTTGGTGCTAGGGCTTTTACTTTACATGTACATTTCTTTGGGTATTAACATATTTGACCTCTTGACCTTGAAGTTTGACCAACTTTTGCAAAAATTTTACCAAACTTGAACCTTGACCATAACTTTTGAACGGTTGGCAAGGGCTTTTATATTTCACGTGTATTATGTACGTGTGACCAGACCTTTCTTTGGGTACCAACACTTTTGACCTTGCCCTTGGAGTTTGACCTACTTTTGAAAAAACTTTAACCTTGGCCATAACTTTTGAACGGTTGGTGCTAGGACTATCATATAATCACGAGTATTCCTTGTGACAAGATCTTCCTTTGGGTACTGATTTTTTTTACCTCTTGACACCTCTTGAGTTGACCTATATTTGTAAAAACTTTAACCTTCATTAGGCCGAAAGCACAGTTCTTACCAGCAACGTATACAGCCAAAGCCACAAGGACAATGAAAATTCTTCTTCGCTTCATTTCATTTTCTGCAAATTAAAACATGGTTAAGTTTTACACTAGTCTACACACTAATAACTAAATAATATTTGATTGATATATTTAAAAAAAAGAGATAGATGATGAGTGAAACATTTTAAAACTTTTATGTGGGGCTCAAGCCAGTGAAACAAGAACTGACCCATCAATCAGTCTTTATAGCTCTTGCCGCCGTTCTTTGTAACTCACATGTATGTAGATATATGTATATATGTGAAGTATGCGCCCTCTAAAAAAAAAATCTGGGACACATACCAAAGATTCAATTCAAAGCATCCCATATGCTTAGAAGTGAAAGAGTTACACTTAATAATGCACCTAATACACCAAATGTAACTTTCATAGTGTTTTATTTGATAAGTATTTCGTGATTTAAATTTTAGTACACTAAGGATGATGAGGGAAAAAAAGAAAAATATTTTGTTACCTGCATGATATACCTTTCCGTTGATTAATATAAGTATGTTTATCCATGTACAACATACATACATACATACACAAATACCTATATAAGCCCTCGGGAGTTATTTATCATAACTTTGTGTCTTGTTGGGTACAAAACGGAAGTTCCTACAAACATTCTCGACCATGGTGTCTTCTCCCACATCTGTGACGTCCAATATACATGTAATATTATCGACGTGTATCCTGATCGATGCATTATAGCAAAGGCGTTTTGGAAAGGGAGAAGTTCTTTCAAAATATTTTTGAAACAAAAAAAAATTCATTATTCGTCTGTGTAAAAAAGAATGACTCCCCGAGTGCACCGTTGAACCCACAAAAAGTTCCCCTTTTATGAAAAAAAAAAATTTTGGCTGATTACATTTCTGCAGCGGGCAGTGCTTTGCGTTGGATTGACAGATGTTTGTAAGGAAAGCAGAAAAGAACTGTGGAATATATGAATATAATCTCATACTACTACACAGTCGTACGTGACCTTGAGTCAAACATCTTTACTTCTTGTACGCAATCTTGTTCAGACCAGTGCCTCTTTTTTCCCTTTCTCCGCATATAACATTATATGATATTTCGTATGTTGATGAACCAGCATGAGATAGCATTCTCATCATATGCCCTTGACCTCCATCTGAAAATGTTAGTATTTTTCAAAAAAAAATTGTCCAGGAAAGGGGGGGTGTCTTTATCATCAAAGATTATTTTACCTGGCAAGTGGGAATATCACTAAATACGTAATGTATGGCTTTCCACCAGGATCCATGTGTCCTTGATCGTATATTTTATAACAAAGTTTGAAATATTGGTGGATCATGCACAGATCAAAAGGGTGGGTGGGTGGGGTTGGAAAGTGACTTGTCTCCCTCCCCCAAGAAATAGGTGTGGACCCCCCCCCCCCCCCGGGAAAGAATTTCTGAATCCCCACATGTGGATATACATTGTACCACGAATATTACCATTCAACAGTACATATATTTTATCATAATCCAAATATGACCTCGACATCACAGTTTAAAGGTTTTTTTTTTCAAGTAAACTTAATGAGATTATGGGATTCTCAATAAAAAAAAAAAGATTGCCGAAAATCGATATTGCATTACCGATTTTTTTTTTTGACCTCCAGATATCCTTAACTTCTAAATTAAAAGCTAAAGATTTTGTATTGGAAACGTACATTTTCAGTGTTCTAAATTAGTTGCAATTATGGTTGATTTCAAACAAGGGTCAACTAAATGTAAAAATACAAAAAATCATATCTACTGCATAAGTTTATATTTGCATAACAATATTTCCTAAAATACTGATAAAGTTAATTAATATAGATATTGACAATTCAATAAATCACAATGAAAATGTTTCATCTGCCTTCTTTTAACATAAATAATTCAAAGGAACATACTGGATATAATTTCAAAATTTTTATAATTAGTACTATTTGAATTGATTATACATGTAAAGAAATTCTCAGAGAACTGTACAATTCTTACAGTTAAAAAAAATACCAGTTTAAAAATTTAGAGTATCTCAAAATGTGCAAACTATTGAACATCAAGCTGGCAATTTTATAGCACTGAATACCCGTAAAAAAGCTGAACCTTTACATGCAATAAAACATATCACAATGCCCACTTGAGTTAAATTGCTCTTTCTGAGAATATATACAACATACAATGTATTTTTGTTCCTCTTTCTATATCAGCTCCAGGGGTCATGGAAGAACAAACATGAATGTATACATAAATCAATCTACTATATGTATGAAGGTACCGGGTAGCATTTGTATCACAGATTGTAACCGTAAGTGTTAGATTATGACCCCCCCCTCCCCCCCCCCCCACAAATGATTCTACATGCCTTAAAACCTGTTATTTGATTTTTTACTTTGCTGTATATGACTCTTTCATTCTCTTGTGATGTGTATGGTTAACTATTCACTCCTAGTGTGGCTCAAGGATTATGAATTGAACAAAAATTACCAGTATATGTACTCCTAAAACTATATGAAGAGGCTCATTTGCATAGTTAAAAAATGATCTATCAAGGAAGAAGTCAAAAATATAAAAAAAAAAAAAAGAAAAAAAAAGACTGCATGGAAACACAAACTACAGATAGTAAAGGAAATTAATGCAGGGATATAAACTCTGAAATTGCCAAAAATAATAACAAAATGCAAAATCTGTTGGATGCAGATTCCTATTCACATGAGCCTAAAAGCCTAACAAGCCTATTTTTTTGTAACTTGAAAACATATTTCCTAATATGTGAAAACTTTGCAGAATAAAGCAAAATTAATGGAAATTAACATAAAAATCTATTATGATCTTTCATTTTCAAAATATATACATACAGTAAAACCTCATTCATCATCGGATACCCAAGGTTGACTTCGTCTTTTACTCATCACCTGTTGGCAAACTCACCGAAATATTGTATGTAATTAATATGCACAGGTCATTTGATTGGCTGCTGCACAGAATCGTGAAGGCTTATCAACGAATCACACTTTATGTTACGTATTCAGCAATGACAAATGCTAGTCAACACACCAATTGTAAACAAATCCACTCACCGGTGCATTTAGCAGATTGAGAAAGTAACTCCTATATTATTCCTGAATGGGATTTAATGCCAGTGACATGCACGACATGTTTTTTTTTTATTTTAAAACAAAATTCGCATGTTTTAACAGTGTCACAAAAAATTACCATAAATAGCAAACTTATAAATGTATTTTCAAAACTGAAGAGTTCAAACTTTCTGATTGGTTGTCTATAATCAACGAATTTGCATAAAAAAAAGACAGTATTTCTGCAAGTTTGCCAATGGGTGATAAGTAAAGGACAAGAACATCCCTGGGTATCTGATGACGAACCTCATTATCCTAAAACTCAATTTGGGGATTTGACATACTAAAGTTAAAAATATCTGTCTCATGGTCATAAACATGTATTTAATTTTTAAAATGAGTCTTGTATGCACTACGGTATATCTTGTCTATTTATAGTCCTTATGTAATCTAAACAAGTGCAAAAGGTTCACAAAACTTCAAATTCACCAGGTTTGAAGCCATATAAAAACCATCAGCACAGCAGAATAATGTGAATTTGTGGAATAAAATACATACATGTATGTAAACACGTTAAACTAATGTACACACAAGCCAGAAGATGGAGGGATACAACTGAATAGATTCTGAAAGCATACATGTATTTAAGGTGACATGAGTGGATAGGCAAAAAGGGTACCCAAAAGGTACATTATGTACATACATGTATATATACTTTGTATGGAGCCAAATTGTATATTCAAAATACGATGGTTTTATGTACATATATTTACATTTGCAAATGTTTTCTTTTATATAACACTATTAAAAGCAATGCGTATCTATATCCGTATAAACATGGGTTCCTCGCGTCAGAAACGTTCGATGTAATTTCTCAGTGACATCATAAAGGGTCGACGCACAATCAATAGATCAAACTCGTGCTGTTGAGTTTGAAAAAATAAAACATTTCACACGTTGAAGGTTATAATCAGGCTACTATATAATATGAATAAGTCACAAATGTAAATATAAGTAATAAGGTATCATTTTAAAACATCTTTCGGGATATAAATACGGGTTGGTACGCGATCAAATTTACCATAAAGCCCTTCGGGCTTTATGGAATTTGATCTCGTGACCAACCCATATTTATATCCCGATAGATGTTTAAAAATGATACCTTATTTCTTAAATATATACTTTGTATAAAATTAATTCTTTGCATTATATTCATAATAGACTGGTTTTAAGTTATAACAATACTATGCCTTATGAAGGCATAAAATTATAGGGGTGAAAAAAATCTAAAATGCATTTAATTGCTTAAACATGATGAAATATCACTTTTTTTGTTAAAATGATTTGGAAGCACTGCTGTATTGTTGGAAATGAGGTGTAAATTACATCTCATACATCAATGCAGAAATATGTACATCTAACGTGTAAAAAAAAAAAATAGAAGCAGTAAGTACATTGTACTTATAAATAAAACCTAACACCAACTGGCTATCTACAACAATTAATAATCAAAACAGAGCAAAACATAACTACTCTAGATTCCGATATAAGCTATATATGTAAAACTCTTATATATATGTATTTAAAGAAAAGTACATAAATAAAATGTAAATAAAAAATCATAAAAAATATACACATGCCTTTCCAATAAATCTATCTTATAAATCAGGTACTGGTAACTAATATTACTGAACTTATTTTTGATCTACATCAATAAAGAGTGGTTAGCTATAACAGTATCGCCTTCCTCCTCTAAGTCCACTTCCTTACAAAGTGTCAAAGCCTGCATCTTTTGTTCCAACATTTCTGTTTGTATCTGAAAATAATGATATAAAAATTATATATCACTCTATCAACACAACAAAACAATCATTACCAGACAAGTATGTGATATAATCGTATATGTATAGTAACTGTTGTATACAAGTATTGAATTTTTCAATGTAAAATATTACTTCTTTCATTAAGTTAATAAAATTAAATATTAATTTATCTGATCATTAAAAAGTAGTTAAGCAACCATCACCTTTTTTCTTTTCTTTTTTCTTTTTCTTTTTTTTTTAAATTTTAAATTATTTTATTCTTGCTTGGTAGAACTGCAATCTAGAGCATTAAATATCCCTTTCAAAGTGTATTTCTACTCACTACAAACAGAGCATGCATGGGATATGGAGAGCAGGTATAGTATCACTATATGATTTAACTGATGGTGTTACAGTATAGTGTGTTATGGATACCTATTTTTGCTACAAATTGGGGTAGACTATTCCTGACATTCATCATACATGTAATGTGGAATAATTAATGATACAGTAAAACAAGCTTAAAGTGCAAGGGATTGGTGATTTCTGATCATAATAAGTGTTATTTGCTATATCCGATGCATTAAAAATAGGCTTCAGAAATTCCAAAAATGAAAATCACTTCACTAAAAGCATAAATTCATTATACGCATTTTCACTATAACCATGTTTTACTGTATTGTACT